GAGGGGCATATGTCCCAGGGCGCCAACCTTAGGGGGCGCCAAAATGGGTTGGAAAAATAAATTGAAAGGTTGAGGGGGTTGCAAATCGAAAGTTTGAGGGGGGGTGTAAATCGAAAACTCGAGGGGGGGTGCAAATCGAAAAGTTTGTCCCCGGGCGCCGGGAAGGGTCGCTACGCCTCTGTATATATATATATATATTCTTGTTTCAGCCATAGTCTCAACAGTGGGCTCGGCAATTCTCGTGGGAAAAGCTAAAGATCAACGTGACGAACTGGAGCCGTATTATTCTACCTTCTTCGCTCTGATTGGCTGCTTGTTTATCATAGTCGGGGGAGGGGTGCAGGTTTTGTCAATGAAAACAGAATACAGCAGTATAGCCTAAAGACTTGCATCTTTCCAGAGTATTTTATATTCTACTCTTAATCTTATGAGCAGATGGTTTTCTGTATCTAATTACTTTACCATTCACTGACCTTGATCTATTTATTATACCATTCAGTGACCGTGACCTATTTATTTTACCATTCAGTGACCTTGATCTATTTGGGTTGGTTACCCATCAGGTACGTTCTACTGACTTGAACCCGGATTCAAACTCGAGACTTTCGGGTTAGTAGCCGCCCCCCCCCCCCCCCCCGCCCCCACCACACACACACCCTCTTGTACAAACAATAAACCACATTTTTGTATAACTTTTTAAATGCACATTTTTGTCACACTCCTTGCTGCAAAATTTCATTTGTAATTTTGTAAGTTATCCAGTGGCGTAGCGAGGGTTTTATGCGGGCCCCACGGTGCATCAATCAACATTGTTGACTGAATAATGTTGACTGAATGACACAACACGTTTTTTTCTGCCCGTTCAAAATACTGGCATGATCGTAAGAACCGCTCTAGACAGCGAAAGCCCTTGCTGCGTACTGAGCATCATAGTCCTGTATTAAACCTATTTTATGTAAACCTGGTATTAAGCAATTAAAACATTTGTAACTTTTCCATACGTTTCTGTGTTGATTTTAGACTTACACGTCCTTGACTCTCACAGAAAAGCCTCTATCGAAGTTTCGGATCTCCTTATTTTTCAAGTCTACCTTGACTCCTAGAATAGCCACTCATAAGGTTGAAAAACGTAATAATCGACATTGTAATCATAGACAGTGGCGTCACAAGGATGAGGCAGGGGTGCTGTTAACAACGGGTGACAACATTTAGGGGTCGACACCACACCACATGAAAAAATCGTAAAATTTACTATCAAAACAATGTCTTGTATAACTCAAATAATAAAATAGTAGGGGAGAGGGGTGAAATGGATCAATGTTGGAGGGGAAGTGGGTGTGGGTAACACCCGATTCAGTAACGCCATTGATCATACATCTATTCGTACTTACAACAAATTTAGCGTAGAACGTTTAACATGAGCAATGCAGTAGAAAATAACTTCAACCAAGCAACGCTATAAACATTAGAACACTACATGTAGATTTAAAAAATACTCTGTCACTCTGATCAAACGTAGCGGAATAAAAATTTCTATAAATTTTAAAATATAACCTTCGGTTACAATATTTTTTACAGCGGTTGATTCTATTTTACATAATACCAATGTTCAAAAGTTGCCAGTTTTCTACATATAGTTCTAGAACAGTTCTAGATGAAAGCCAGTTCACGTCGTTCTGGCCAAATCATGTCTTCTACAAAACTAAAAATTTTAAAGTTTAAATAAGATTTATATATTGTGATTTTATGTAGGTGGGGCCTTTGGGTAGGGTCCTATCAGACCCATGCTGCTATTCGGCCCTGAAAATGTAAGCCTTTTTACTTTCTCGTATATACGAAGTATAGAGAAAGTCTAGTTTTAGACATTTTTCTTCGGTGGGGGGGGGGGGCGTATTTAAACTTTGGGGTAGTCGGAATTAAATTTCCGGGTGGGCGGACACTGGTTGAAGTATACAATTTGTATATAAATTATAGGAGTGGCTAATTTAGGCTATATTGTATCATGTTATACTGTTTTATCAGTTAAATAGGTTACAAATGGAACGAAGGCCGACTACCAATTATCCTATTTTGTCTTTTTTTACGTGGATAGCTTCCCTTTATAATGTTGCCGTATCAACGAAAACTAGCGTTCTTCCTGTTCCGACCTGCAGTTGGACTGCAAAATGTCTCGAATTTCATCCACTTTTTACAAAAATTCGAGTATGAAATGTGACGGGATTGCATTAAAACTTATTTATATTTCATTCTGTAACAAAAGTGTATATAATTAGTATCTGAACTTGGCTTGAAAGCTTAATTATCATTTAAAAATTAAACACTCGAACTGTGCAGACTGCAGGCATAGCGCGGCAGTTTTTCTTGTTTATGTTGTTAGTGGTAGTCTAGTCAAAAGTATTAAATGCCTACAAAAAAATCCTAATGTTCTTGTAACCAAATATTTACAGTAATGATAGTCCCAGCTTGTAGATTAGATCTATATTTATAGAATTGTCTTAGACCTACTTACTAGAGATCTAGTACCTTGCCTTAGGCTTTAGTGGCTTTGGTTTAGTTAAGTTTAGATCTAGAATCTAGTTAAATCTACTTAATACTTAAATCTAGTACTAGATCTAGTACTACTAGATCTAGTAGGTCTACTTCTTACTAAAAAAAACTAGACTTAACTACAATAACTAGACAACTATTTATTTTTCTCATATAATAATATTTTTAATAGGCCCTATAACTCAAAATTTGTTAAATAAATGAAGAACTACTTTTTAAAATTATTTTAGGTGGCTATTGATTGATTGTTTAAACTTTTAACAGTATTCACTTGGTAATTGGTGGGATTCCTTGTGATTTGATTTAGGTTGATATTCCAAAGCTTTGAGGTTCACAATTTTACGGACTACAAGTATTTCCAAACCTAGCCAAAATCAAATTAGAACTTTCTAAATAAACTATATAAGCTTTGGTGGCTAGAATGGCTGATAAGATCTCTGAGCCACTAGGATCACAAACGCCAGATCTGCATGAGTGGAGACGATCGCTGAGGTCCCCCAGTCCAGGGCGAGGACTGCGAACCAGCTCCAGCATGGAGTTGATATCAAAAAGTGTCAGATCTAGGACACCATCACCACACAGAGGAAGAGAAAGGTTCAGATTAAGATCTCGAAGCCCTTCCCCAAATGCTGGTTTAAAAGGTAGAAATGAGTATAGACGCTTCTATAACCTTAGCTGGCTTTATTAAACTACATTTTATTTTAATTTGATGAGAATTTACAGCTTTTTTATTTTATTTTTAAATTAGTTTTTTAAAATTAAATTTTAAAGTTTTATAAGTTTATTTTATTAAATTGATTTTTTTTCATAATTTATGAAAGCTCCAAACTTTAAGTCATTAATACTTCATTTTCCAAATAAACTAAATCCAGTAAATTTATTTTTAATGGATAGTATATAGCCTGTAAAAAAGGAAATGTACTATTTATTTATTTTCTTAGGTGCTAATCTAACTGATGTTCCTAAAAAGTCATCCATGAAACGAAACAATATTGCAAATGGATTAAGAAAAAGCCTAGGTAGTAGCTTGACAGCTGATCTAAGTATGAGTGGGTGAGTTTATTTAAGTGGTTGAACTTTTTAAATTCAGATGTTTAGAAGATTAATTTTATTGTGGTTAGAAAATATTGTTTTTATTTTATTTACTTTTAATATGAAATACAACTATACAAGTTCTTTACCAAGGACTTTGCAATTTTTTTTTTACAGTAAACTCAACAAGTCTGCTGGACAATTAGCAAACATTGAGGCAGAGTACATAAAAAATCTTCAACAACAAATTTATTTTTTGGAACTTGAAGCTAACTACTTGTATCCTTTCTCATGTTTTATTTTTTCAAATTGGTTTTTGTTTTTTTAAAACCTATCCCACAAATAGTTAACTTAAACCCTATAAGAACCCTTTAGGGACTACTGCATCATAAATAATTGACACTGGTTATATTTTGCTTAGAAATGTGACATTGTTTACCAAAAATGTCATTAAACGGAGGCAGCAAATTAAGACGTAATTTATTACAGATTGGTAATAGCAAACTAATTGGAGGCGTTAAAACCAACTTATTACCAAGTTCGTATTTTTGTTTTTTATTTTTAAGTGGAGTAGTTACCTCAGAGTGGCCAGATCAAAGTTTTATGAAGCTTGCCAGCACCTTCAATAGAGCAGTACTGGTTGTCACAGTTTGCTCATCAAAGATTTACAAATATTGATTCACTAGAAGAATTGATTGAATCAGAAGTATTGATTAATTAGTAGCACTCGTTAAGTAGTCCTTAACTAACCTAGACGCGAGCAGGCGAGAAAAGCGACAGAAATGCATCCCCAGATGACACAAGAAGCTGAAAAAATGTTGGCCAAACTGAGGGTAGAAAATATGACATTTTTCTAAATTTTACTCCAGCAAATAAACTAATTGTGTATTTCATCTCCACTTCTCCTATTAATTATGCAAGTTAATCAGGGAAAACTGTAAGCATTACAATCATCAACTCAAACTGAGAATTAGTGTTGGTGGGAGATAAAGTTCTAGTTTTATAAATGTATAATCCCATGTATGTTGTAGAAAGACACTAGTTTCACTCTTTAAAATGTTTGTAAATGATTTATTTATTGCTGTAATGCTGGTTAAGGGAAGGCATGGTCGTATGGTGGTGCATTTGTTTTTTAATTTAAACCCCAAAGTCTCAATTTGGAACTTGGGCTTGAGGACATCTCTGAGTCCACCCAGCTATAAGGGGTTCCTGACTGATGTAAGGGAAAGTAAAAAGGGCTGGGCATAGTACTAACCACACTATTCCTTCATATGCAGAGGTCAATGAAACAGGTGAACTCTAGTTCACCTGCTCCCTAGTGTAAGATTCAAAAGCGTACTGTACATACTATAATTATAATACTGGTTGAAATCAGAGATGTGAATAGGCTACAGTAAGAGTTTGCAATGTGTAATGTAAACAGATTTTGTACTGCTACAGTAAGAGTTTGCAATGTGTAATGTAAATAGATTTTGTACTGCTACAGTAAGAGTAGACAATGTTGCAATGTGTAATGTAAACAGATTTTGTACTGCTACAGTAAGAGTTTGCAATGTGTAATGTAAATAGATTTTGTACTGCTACAGTAAGAGTTTGCAATGTGTAATGTAAATAGATTTTGTACTGCTACAGTAAGAGTTTGCAATGTGTAATGTAAATAGATTTTGTACTGCTACAGTAAGAGTTTGCAATGTGTAATGTAAATAGATTTTGTACTGCTACAGTAAGAGTTTGCAATGTGTAATGTAAACAGATTTTGTACTGCTACAGTACTATCTAAAACCATTGTTGTACAGGAGATGCAGACCCAGATGGACCTGATGGACCTGGAACTGAAGAGAAAAGATTCCAGCATTGGCATCTACACTTCAGAGAAGGAGAAAATACAGCAGGTGCTACAGACTGAGAGAGGTATTCTGTTGTTTTGACTCATCAGTATGTACTAATATGCACAATATAAATTTTATATATGTGTGTGTGATATCATAAAGTTCAATTTTTTTTTTACAAATGCCTATAAATATAAAACAAGATGATATCTAAAGTATTTTAATTCTTTATTTTTAAAAGTTAACTAAAAACGTGTCTCTCTGTTTATCACTTTGTAACAGGAATCAGAGAATAACTGACAAATAATAAGAATACACAGCATGGATTTTAACCTCTTATTTGACCTTTTACATAGCACATGCAGCGTTAAATGTGGCTATTAATTGTTTTCTAACAACTTCCAATTTTTAAACTAATTTATCAAAATCATTAAATCGTTATTGGTAGGCCTTAAATTACAACAGCGTTTATTTGGTATCATACTCCGTCCCTAAACTTAACTGGCCATAATCATAATCCTGACCATCACCCCAACCCTAACATTATCAACAACAGCAAAATGTAGATAATGTACGATTGCCATTTTTATAATAGCTCTTTGATTTGATTCTGTTTACCTCACACAAGTTTGAATGTTTGCAGAAAGCCGAGCCAAAGAGAAGCGTCTGCTGACAGACGAGCTGGTGACCATGAAGAAAGACAAAGACCGGCTCCAGAGAGAGCTGGCCAGGAAAGACGAGCAGCTTCTGGAGGCCAAGTCTGAGGTGGACCGCAGCATTCTGGCACTGAAAAATGCTGAGACTAAGATAAACACGCTGAAAGCTCAAGTAAGACTGTGCTCTCCAGTGTTTTTTCCAGGCTTCCTTCCACCCCCCCCCCCCCAGAGGAAAAAAGTCTGGAAGAAACACTGGTGCTCTCCACATGAATATACCTTAATGGTGTAGTTCAGGGGTCGGCAACCTGCGGCTCGTGAGCCGCATGCGGCTCTTTTGATATCAAGATGCGGCTCTCCAGCTCCTTGAACAAATACTAATAATCTTAATAAAAAAAAAAAATATTTGAAATAAAAAAAAATGTTAATGGCTCTTTAAAACCAGGGAAATTTTGAAAATTGTAACTTTTGGCTCTTCCGCTTCAAAAGGTTGCGACCCCTGGTGTAGTTCAAATGGGTTTAATCATGTTACACAATGCTTTGCTACAGAAACTAGGCACAGAGGTAGACAAAGTAGGAATGACACCTGACTGAAAAGCTTCTTGTGCCTATTTGACTGTCACATCAGAAAACTTCTTATACTTTGTTATGTGTTAAAAAAAAACATTCAGACCTTTAAATTCAGCCCCCCCCCCCCCCCACCCGCCCCTATAATCTGCCACTGCTAAGCACCAACCTGATGCTAAATCAGCTATTGATCTATCTAGATTTTAACATCAGCAGTTTAAATATTAAAATTTTGACCTGGTGTATTGTTTAGGATTCATCCAACTTAGTTTTCCCTTGAAACTCTAAAGATCGTTATCTAATGTACTTAATTTATCCGGAATAGCTGTTTCAATTATTCCATTTAATATTTTCCATCACTAAAATGATTTTTTTTTTATTATTGTCACTCTAAGGTGCTTTCTTTATTATCATTAATTTAATTGAAGAACCTTACTTTTCCTTTGATTATATTTTTATATCTTTGTCATTTTCTTGACGTCTTCATTATTATCATTAATTTAATTGCTGAGGCTAACTCTCCCTTGCCTGAAACAAAAATTTGCATCTGTGAACCACCAACAGCTGGAGCAGCGGATAGAGCAACACAACCTGACCCAGCTGGCCCTAGAGGAGAAGAGGGCGGAGCTGATCAGCACGGAGACACAGCTGAGGGAGACAGAGGAGAAGTTCATCTCTAGCACTGTCACAATCAAGGATAAATTAACCCAGGACCTAAGGGTGAGAACTATGCTACAGTTATCTCCCCTTAATTTTTTTTTTTTTTTTTTTTTTTTTTTTTTTCTTTTTTTACAGATAGTTGCTCAAATTCAAACTTTGGTACTTATGTGTAATATAAACAAATAAGCACAGAGTCCATAAATTATTTTTTAATGCAACTTATATGTTCATCTTTTTTTAATCATATTATAAACAAATTTAACAAACCATATAACTGTATTCACGTATTTTTATGGTTTGAAGAGGCTATACTTTTCTGATATGAATGTAAATGTGTTGTGTGTGACAGGATGAAATCCGAGTGCTACATCAGAGGATGAAGGAAACAGAGCTGAGCGCTGAGAAAGACAGGTTCCTCAGAGACAAGGTATCTGATGAAATGGCCAGTCTAGTGAAGGAGAACTCTGCACTGAGTCAAAGAGTTGCAGAACTTGTCTACCAGCTGGAGCGGGTAAGACACGTTGTTTACATTTTTAACAGTTCCTCAATTTTTTTTTAATGTACATTTAGTATAAATCCGGAGTCACCACATTCAAATAAGCAAACAGAAAGAATCTAAGATAAAAAAGGTTTTAAAATATTTACTTTTTTTTATTATTATTATTGGTAAACTTTTACAAGTGACACCAAATTTGAAATCAGTTTTAAAAGGGATTACTAAAACTCATTATTTCTGAATATTTTTCTCATCAGTTATGTATTTAGTATGAAAGCTAGCATTCCAAATGAAAATTTTGTTATTTTTGTTGTTTTGTGTTAAGTTTAACATTAAATGAGATGTTATGACATACAATATTAGCAAATAAATTACTTTTGATCTTACAGTGATTTATAGTAATACTACATCACAAAAATGTAACTTCATTAAAAAATTTGTATTAAAAATGTAATTTGATTACATTTTTATCATAATCTAATTTGATAACATATTTATTACAAATATTATTTGATTATTAAAAAATGTTATTACAAATGTAATTTGATTTTTAAAAATGTTGTAAATGTAATTTGATAAAAAAAATGTAGCAAATGTAATTTGATAAAAAAAAAAGTTACAAATGTAATTTAATAAAAAAAAAATTGAAAAAATGTAGGAGAAAGAACTGAGAGAATCCACTGAGTCTCGCCACCTGCACAGTGTCGGGGAAATGGTGACCATGAAGGACAGACTGCATGAGATGGACAGGCTCAGGGATGAGCTGCGTCAGGAGAAGGAGAGAGCACGCCAGTACTTAGAGCAGGTACATTAGTCTGTTTAAGATGCAGAAGGTGTCTCCTTGGGGATGAAGTTGTGCAGTTGAAGTAGAGTTTGTCATGGCATTAATTTTCTTTTACTATGGCTAAAAGAATTCTCAGCCTAGATTAGGACATATTTTGTGCAAGTCATAGCAGTCCTACCCAAGACTGTTCCTGCTAGTGTGCTCTGCAACTGGTCTTTGCTGATACAGGTCAAGCAGAGTTATATTAATTTTATCATCTTGGATTTTGCATTATCATTTTTTTTATAATCCTAAGTTTCTTTTAGTCCTCATTGTAAAACTCAAGTTGAAGAAATATTGTTTTGCTTCTTTGAAGGATTTTTACTATAGAAGCTTAATTTTGAAAACCCCTTGCATTTTGCTGCTGACCAATGAAACGCTACTAATTTCAACAACTGACCTATGAAAAATTATTAATTTTCATAACTGACCAATAAAATGTTTTTAATTTCTACAACTGACCAATGGAATGTTTTTAGTTTCTACAACTGACCAATGAAATTTTTATTTCCAGCTGACCAATGAACAGATGACCCACAAGAAGACAGAACTGCACCTGAACACCTTCAAGTCACGTCTGACAGAGACAGAAGGGATGCACGGGGTGCTGGAATCTGAAACAGATCAACTCCGGAAGGACAAGTCCCTTCTTGTAGACCACATTGCAGAGCTACAGAGAAAGGTTGGATGTGTTACGTCTGGGTTTTATTCAATGCAGTAAACGATCAGAGAAAATGTTCAATAATTTATTTGTTCTCATCTTTACACATTACACAGCAGCCCTCGTCCCTAGCGGCTACTAACTAAAAACCCCTCACAATCGTTCACTCCAGCTTTTATATGTGCACTCGACTTTGGGATCACAATACCTAAACACCCTGAGGTTAACTCAACCCACACACCTCTCCCCTACGCTCTGAACTATTCTAGCCTATTCTAATCTAACCTACAACTGACCCGTAACAAGATGCACTAACAATTAGAATACTTTGGCTTTTTTTGTTGTGATGCTGCAATATTTCCTCTGTTACTTTTTACTTGTGACACATAATTTTTTTATAACATTTAAATGTTTAAAAGTAATTTTTCTTTAAATTATGTTTTAAAGAGTTGCTGACTCAATACAATTACATTTCAAAAAAAGCTTTCATAAATTTTAAACTGCTGTAAAAGCTGGAGTAAACATGTTGAGCAAACTTTAATTTGGGTCTGGAACTAATTTTATTTTGTTAAAAGTAAAACTTTTTTTAAATAGTTTTTACCTCAAATTGTTCTTAAATTACAACTATTTTTTTTACATTATCTATTTTTTATGTTCTCTAGATTGAGGAACGAGACCATGAGATAATTGAGCTCAGAACTAATGTGAGTGACCTTGAGACCAAGTTCAGGAACCTGGGCCTGCAGAAGACCATGGAGATGTCGCAGCAGAGCCAGCGTTGGGAGGAGTTCTCTCGCCTGGCAGACAGCATGAAGTCCTTGTCCAAGTCCATGATGTCCCAGACTTCTATGGGGAACTTCCACTCCCATCATAGCATGACACCACAACAATATTAACCCTTGCCAACCCAGACAGTAGGAAATATAATGTCTCAACAGACTTCTATGGGGAACTTCCACTCCCATCATAGCATGACACCACAACAATATTAACCCTTGCCAACCCAGACAGTAGGAAATATTAGTAAAAAATTATGATGTCTCAATCTCCTAGGGTAATTCAACTCCCATTATACCTTGAAAAATATTAACCCTTTCTTAACTAGTTAATAATTAAAGTTATAAATTTTTAAATCAGATTCATGAGAAAAAAAATTATAAAAGCAGTCTTTTTTTATTTTAGATTTAAGAATAAGTTTAAGTATAATGTTATTTCTTTGTTGTTGGTTTATTAAACAAAGTTATTATAATTATTATTATTATTAATATTATTATTATTATTATGCATGAACAATCAGTAGCTATGGAACATAAAGTACTAATGAAGTAAACACTGAATAGCACAATCTTAACAAACTATGTTGATTAGTACTGCATAGTGCTCAGTCAGTTGTTAAAAGTGGGGGTTTATTTCAAGCTTTTTATCTAGATTAAAAAATGTATAACAGATGGCTTTAAAAAATTGTATTGGATATTTTTATTTTTACCTGTGCATTTTAATGTCAAACTTTAATGTAATGATTGCTTTCAAACTATTTATAAAGCTATATGTGTCTGTTGTTGCCAAAATTGGCTTTCTGTTTTATTCACTCTTTGTATACACATTCCAAAAGTTTTTGTGTATGAAATATCTGTGATAATATTCTATTTTTAATTAAGTCAAACTATTAGGAATATTGATGAACAAACTGTACTTTACTTGTTTTAAATTTTATAACTAAAATTATGTCCAGTCACTACAATCACTACAGATAAGATTACTACTTCTTAAAATTTTTTTTTTTACCTAACTTAATATAATTTCCCTAATTGTTGTCAAACATTTTATTAAATTACCTCCCTTAGGAAAACCTTTTTTAAAAAGTTAGTAAAAGCATTGGAAATTTTAATCAATCTAACAGACTGGAAAACTCGTTATATGTGATTATATTTAATTTATGTTGGTATCTTTTGTTAATTTTATGCAAATATAACTTTGTATTTTAAAATTATGTACTTTAGGTTAACCAATTTTATTATGTTGTAAACATATTTATTTACTAGATTGCCAGTAGCAGTAATAAATGTATGTTTTTAATTAAATTTACTGTAGTAACGTTTATTTTCTTAATATTGTTTAGTTGCCAGATATTAGACACTTTTCTGTGATACCAAAACGTAAGATATTTTTGTATGACTTCTACAACAAGAAATTAATTATTCTATTATGACTTTGTGTTGTTTTTTCATTAGCCTAATAATGTAAACCAGGGTAGATAAGTCTAAAAATAATTAGTTGGCTATTTAGGTAAGCATTAGTTCTAATGAAGATTTCCTCTTCCAGCTATCAGTTTATTCTGAAAATCATTCAGCAACCATCAGTGTTACAAAATTTACTTCTAAAGGAGTGTACAATTTCTGAAATGAAATTTTATTTTATATTAGGAGTCAAAATAGACTTCTTTCGCTTTAGCTGTTATTAACTAAGTTTCTTTGGAAATATGTATTAAAAGAATGCAAAACAAGTAACATTTAATTAATAAAAACAGCATTACAAACTTAATTAATGTGGAATTGTTCAGACTCAGAAACAATGTTTAATTTGGTGTTGTAATGTTCAGTTGATGTTTAGTTATTTTAAACCTGATCTGTATTAAATTATTTTGTTTTTTTGGGAAGGTTTTTCTATATTGGTACCAGAAAAGGTAAAAATAAGTCTGTGGGGAGGAATATTTTCAGGAAGGATATTTTACAACTGCTATTTAATTTGTGATTAATAAGTCTACTAAGTAAGAAGGAGCAGAAGATAAAATATTTTGTAAAAAAAAGTGCTGCTTAATAATATACTATCTTTCTACAAGCTAGAATTGAATGAAAAAAACAAGTTTTAAATTTGACAGCACCAATTTTGTATTGATTAGAGAGGACAATATTTGATAAAGCTGCTGTTGCAGACTATAGAAGTAAGTAGCAGGGTTTGGTCATGTAAAAACACAGAAGAGTATTATCTGCAAACATTTCATAAAGTATGGTGTTATTGCAAGTGTGGTCCATTTATATATGAGGAGAAACGTAACGTACCCTAGGTAAAACCGTAGGGTACTTTAATATTCATGTACTTATTGAAGGGGATGTCAAAAATCCCTGTTGGGTCTACGAGTACAGCAACTCAACCATGTCTTATTGAATCTGCATGCAATTACTTTAATAAAGAAATGTACTGTTGTCTACACAATCTAATTCTTTATTTAAGTGACTGCGCAACATCCCACACAGAAGAATGGAGTGTTATGTTTTTTATTCATTCAAGCAAAGCTGTAGAACTCAAAGGCTTTCTTGCCGAATTCTTATGTTGAAGTGTATTTTTAGATACTGCAAACATGAGGATTACTACATGGGATCCTACACATGACAACCTGACCCACATCACTGACAACCTGCTCCAAATTATGTGACAACCTGCCTAAAATCAGTGACAACCTGCCCCACATCACTGACAACCTGCTCCAAATTATGTGACAACCTGACCCACATCACTGACAACCTGACCCACATCACTGACAACCTGCCCCACATCACTGACAACCTGCTCCAAATTATGTGACAACCTGACCCACATCACTGACAACCTGCTCCAAATTGTGTGACAACCTGACCCACATCACTGACAACCTGACCCACATCACTGACAACCTGACCCACATCACTGACAACCTGCTCCAAATTATGTGACAAGCTGACCCACATCACTGACCTGCCCCACATCACTGACAACCTGACCCACATCAATGACAACCTGCCATGCATCAATGACAACCTGACCCACATCACTGACAACATGCCACAACTCAATGACAACCTGACCCACATCACTGACAACATGCCACAACTCAATGACAACCTGACCCACATCACTGACAACATGCCACAACTCAATGACAACCTGACCCACATCACTGACAACCTGCCACGCATCAATGACAACCTGACCCACATCACTGACAACCTGACCCACATCACTGACAACCTGACCCACATCACTGACAACCTGACCCACATCAATGACAACCTGCCCCACATCACTGACAACGTGCCTCACATCACTGACAACCTACCACACATCACTGACAACCTGCCCCACATCACTGACAACCTGACCCACATCACTGACAACCTCTCCCACTTCTGACACACATTTTGTATCCAAAACTTTCTGCTATTATTATATTAAACTTTTCAGAATTTTGTTAAAATGTTCATTTTTTTAAAAACTTATCTGATTTAGACATCGCCTTATTTTTTACTACCTTTAAACGTTCACCCCCCCCCCCCCCCCCCACTTAGAAACCAGTTGTATGTTTCCCACGGCAAAAGATAGCCCTTCGATACAATGGAGATAGAGCTTTAGAGAGGAGAATGAATAACCTACTTGTGATAAGCCAAACATTTCCAAACTTTGTTCTTAAAGAGATAAAGCAACTAGATTCTATACCTTGTTGGATAGATATATGACTATCGTGTTTTTTTTATTCACACTGAACTGCGCATTAATTAAAACACGTAGGCCTATAACATGTGTAATATTAGCCCTATGCTTAATGTGTTGGAAGTTAATTAGATCTGTTATTAATAAGATTAAAATTCTAATTGGAATTATGCCATATCCAAAACTACAGGCCTAAAATATTGACTATCATTAAAAGTCAGCAGATCCACCTATAGCTAGACCTACAAACACAAGTAAGTCCGAATAAAATTTAGATTACTTTTGTGTGGCTGATTTATTAAATTATATTGTGAGAAAAAAAACGTCATGCATGACTGCAGTTTTACTTCGTACCATGTAGTTCTTTCACTATCTACCGCCACTCCTTCAAATAACGTCGGTCTCCTCTTCCCTCCCCCCCCCCTCCGTGGTATATTAAATTTAAATAAGATTTATTATATTTTCTTCTCTCCCCCCCCCCCTCTCCCCCTCCGTGGTATATTAAATTTAAATAAGATTTATTATATTTTCTTCTCTCCCCCCCCCCCTCCCCTCCGTGGTATATTAAATTTAAATAAGATTTATTATGATCTTTTCTTCTTCTCTCTTTTTCCTCTCCCGAATCTTTCTTTGTGTATTTAGCGATTAGTAGGGTTATACTATACCAGCGAGCAGCTAAAACTAACACTTAAAACTCGGAGCTAGTGAGGGTTTAGCCATTCGTTAAATTTTTTAATCGATCACATCTAGAACACTCGTGAAGCCACTTAATATATCTAGTAATTTCAAATACAAATGTGCATGTTTTAATGACGTCACCTTGTCACTACTCCCCCCTCTTGTTCTTATCACACATGCTCAGCACAGACCTCTCTGATCTTAACCTCTCATTTCACGACCTGAGTTAATGGCTTAGAGATAGTCTACAATAAAGTCTAACCAGAGTTTCAGACATTTTTTTCCGGTGGGGGGGGGGGGGGGCTACTTGAAACTTTTGAAAGAAGGGCGCACTTACATTTCCGTTAATGTAGGCCTAGAACATAAGTTTTCTACATAAATTATACATTTTGTTTTATTCGTCCGGGGGTGAAGGGGGCGGGAGGCGGTGGACAGTACCCCCCCCCCCCCCACCATCCTCGAAGAGATGCCCGAAAGAAACTGAGTCTAACTGTAATTATCATATCTCATAAAAATTTCAAAATATTTTGAGTAAAACAAAACCCATGACTTATCTATGAACCTATAAAGACCTATGGACAGTGTAATAGGCCTAGAAGTGAGGATGTAAGGCCTACATTCCGGATCTTTATTTTTTTTCTAATATGCTTCACCCTGTCTATTAATTATAGATCTAGGAATGGCTCATATACTCATTAGATCTAAGTCTACATCTTTTAAATATAGACTAGACCTACACATTAGTCTACATTCTGCTTCAGTGAAGGCCTAGATATTGTTCTAATCTCGTTTCAAAATTCTTAAATTATGTTATTCTTTGCATTTATATTTACTTAGACTAATGTTTATTTTAAAAAGTTACGTAAACTCTTTGATTCTACTAGATCTAGATCTAAATCTATAGTAGTACAAAGTCCTCCTAACTTCCTAACGGGGCTTGAAAGGCCCATCCTCTTCGTTTATATGCGGATATTTTCGTTAATTTGCATATGATCGACGTCACACGGGCTCATTTGTTTACAGTGGAGATATGTATTGATCTGTCACTCTATTCATTGGAAGTCGATATTGGTTGTATCTTGCTGCACGCAAATGAAGGCCAATAAGCTTGTGATACCGTTGTATCAACCGATCACCATACTATACAATGTTAAGCTGATGTACTTTCAGAACCTGTTAAAGTATATATTTTATCCAGGATGGACGTGTTTGGATCATCAGTGACGAAATATTCAGCACGTCTGCTGTCATCTGACAGTGTTGAGTGTAGTGATGCTATCACCAGTGCAAAAATAAGTGAAATACGACTATGATAAAAACATACCCATTAGCTATTCGGTTTGATATTTGTTCTCTCACAGTAGCATACAGATCTGGGCTAATAAATTTGAGGTAAGTTTAAAAGTTTGATGCATGGTCCCAGTAACTTAGTTGATTAATAATTAATTAATTAGCCTACTTAATTAATTACTAGATCTATTATTTTTTTTAGTTAAAGTTAAGTTAATCAACTACTGTAATAATGTATTAGTAATAAGTATGATAGTATAATAATAATGTTAATAAAATATAATGATTACAATTAAGTGGCCTATAATTATGGTTTTGGAAAACAAATGAAAAATAAATAAATAATAGATAATAATAATAATAATAAAATTATTAATTATGTTAGGCCTAGATTCTGTATTATATCATTTTATAATAAAATATTGACTATTTTAACTTTAGATCCTGCTAAATTTAAAATAAAAAACTTCAATTTTAAATGATAAAAGTCCTCTTCATTTGAAATATTCCATTAGGGCCTAGACTATATTTTTTTTAAAAAGATCCAGATCAGATATAAAGTACCAGTTATTTTTAACGAGCTGACCTGTGACGTAGCACACGCCGCTATCTAGTTGTTTTATTTTCTACTTATCAACAATTCATAATTTGTGTATTCGACACTACCCCACCCCCTGCCTTCCCCACCACCCACCCCACCCCACCCTACAGTACCTAGTGAAAGCAGCCGTTTACAGATGACAATGAAAATATCAAGCAGAACTTATTATCTCCCCTTAGTTTCAAATAGTTTAAAAACTAAATTATCTGCCCCTAATAGCCGTCACATATTCGAACCAGCTCTACTATTCTAAACATTCGAGTGAACCACAGCTCACCTGACAGGTGGGGATGAGGGTGGGGCTAAACTGTGTGGTGTCTTCTATGGTCTCCATGAAGAGAATTATATATATAGATTTGGCATATTATTTTAATTTTGATATATATTTTTTTGTAAATTTGCATAGTAATAATAAAAACAGATTTTATGCTTTTTGTTATTGTTGGTTTGCATATTTTGATAAGGTTTTTTTAGTTAGTCATGCCCCTGATAAAATGTCTGATATGGCTCCAAATAATGACTAACAGCAGAAGCCTATTCTTCATAGCAGTCGAGAAAAAAAATGTTGCAACTTGCTCTCAACATTTATATACAAAAGTTTTCAGGAGGCCTAGCACAGGGAGGGTTGCAGCCTGGGCATCTATGGTGCACTAAAAAGGGAGAAAGAAAAACTATAAAGCTCATTTTGGGCAATGGTACTAATTATACATATTCAAAAAAAAAAGGAAATATACTCTTAAATGGCTTTACAAACTGGTCTACTGTATATGAGCATGTAGCTTAATGTAAAAAAGCTGTGATTTTAGAGGTCCTTGTCTACTCCACTGCCCCACTTGGCAGTTTATAAAATGGCACAACTACGCAGCTGAACAGACCGACATTCAGAAGATTGTTAGTTACCTCACACCCCCCCCCCTTCTCCTTAGTTGTTGCAGTAGTGCTGAATTCGGTCTAGTGGAAAGAAAGGCTTAACACAAAGAACAAGACACTGTGTCTGTATTTTAAAAGTAATACACTCTGTAACTTCAGTTAAGGCATAATGTAACAACGACCATATCCCTTAACCTTTTCTAGAATAATTCACTAATGCAAGGCTCCTTAACTTCTTGTTTATTTATCTTTTTTCTTATTCTTACTTTGTGTTTTTGACTGACACCTAATGACAAATGTAATGCCTCTCCATGCAATGCAGTTATAGACTAAAATAAAAATCTGGGCTTTAATTATCCTTGAAGAACGATAGCTCCTGGAACTGCCTGATGTCCCTATAGCTAAAGCCACTTTTGTCATAAGCAAAATTTCTGACTCACTCAAATGTTTTGCCTTGTGTCTTTATTTAACAAAATTTGTATTCCAACTTTAAAAATACCATACTCAGTATGTATTTAAGCAATTTAATATCTTCCCTTTCCTTGTAAGGATCTAGTAACAAGTGATGGAGTAAAATTGTGCCTTTGATATGACCTAATATAAGTATTGTTTACATTTTTTCATCTTTTTTTTTAAGTAACTGGACTGAACTGCAATACAAGAGTGGTCTTTAAATATTTGTAATGTCTGCTGCAGATGTGCCAATACCAGTTAGTAATAAGGTAAGAAAGCTGCTAAGACTTTGTCAACTCCTTTTTTTAGATTTTAATTTGTTTTCACACTTTTTACCTGTGTGATTTTTATTTGCTTAGATTTATGAAAATTATGTATAATCATTAACAAGATTTTCATAAATGTTATTCTTTAAGAAAAAAAGTTTCATTTCTATTGTTTTCTGAATTATATTTAAAGCTACACATTGGCTGTTGCATTATGTGACTTAGAAGTTTATCTTGTGAGAAAAATTAATCTTATTTTTATTAAAAGTCTTTGATGATCATGCAGAATATTTTTTTAAAATAGAGCACACAGAGCTAGATTCAGAATCAGTCGGAAATATTTAGACATTTATTAATTATTATAGTTATTGTCATGCAAAGATTGTGTTAGCTCATAATTGGACACTTTGCTGGTTGGTAATTTCCTTGTTTTGTTGTTGTCAGATGTTGCCAGGAGACAAGACAGGGTTGCCATGGGAGATCTGGCAGATGATCCTGTCATGTCTGTCCGCGTCAGATCTGTGTCGAGTGGCTTGTGTGTGCAAGACTTGGTCGGACCTGGTCGTCAGTTTGGATTCTACCAGGTGGAGACAGTTATATCAAGCCTGCAGGTTAGAAGGTGTTGGCCAGGTGTTTTAGAGCATATGTTGTTGGCCAGGTGTTATAGAGCATATGTTGTTGGCCAGGTGTTGTAGAGCATATGTTGTTGGCCAGGTGTTGTAGAGCATATGTTGTTGGCCAGGTGTTGTAGAGCATATGTTGTTGGCCAGGTGTTGTAGAGCATATGTTGTTGGCCAGGTGTTGTAGAGCATATGTTGTTGGCCAGGTGTTTTAGAGCATATGTTGTTGACCATTGTTGGTCAATTGTTATAGAGCCTACATTGTTGGCCAGTTGTTGTTGGCTATATATTGTTGACCAGTTTTTGTAGAGCATACATTGTTGACCATTGTTGTACAGTTGTTGTAGGCTATATATTGTTGACCAGTTATTGTAGAGCATACATTGTTGACCAGTTATTTTAGGCTATATATTGTTGACCAGTTGTTGTAGAACATAAAATGTTGACCAGTTGTTGTAGGCTGTTCCATGTTGTCCAGTTGTTGTAGGCTGTACATTATTGACCAGTTGTTTTAGAGCAAATGTTGAATGTTGTATTAAGCTTTTATTCATGGTTGACCTATTTACCTCAATAAAAATTAAAAAAAAAAACAGTTAAAAAAAATAATGTTGATTAATACGAAACAAACTTTTATTTCCCTTACAGTGAGTGGCGCCACCCATTTTGGCCCCTGAACACACACGCAGAGCCCCCCTCCTGGCGGCTGGCTTACAGAGACCAGTACATATCAACAAAATTTTGGCGCCATAAACAAAAACAGGAGCTGTCCCAGTTTTCATGCACTGCCATCTTCAGAAAAAGCATCACGCAGCGGAATATCCACGTGGGCCCGGGCATGGGCCATGACAGTTTAAACACTGCATTGTCGTCCGCAAACCCCTACGACAGAATCGTAATTCATCCGGGGATTTATGATGAGCAGTTTGAAGTGGCGGCGAAGATTCCGTTTGAGATGGTTGGCCATGGGGAGCTGGGCAGCGTGATCCTGGTGGTGGGGATACAACAGCTGACCACTAGCACCAGGCTGAGTAACCTGGTGCTGAGGGCGCCTTGGTTTACAAGTTTTATTGTAATGGTCAGTTACTGCTTTTCTTAGTTTTTCTTTTTAAGTTTAAAAAAAAGTAAACTTTTCTTTCAGATCTGATGTTCCAAAAGGCAGATGAAGTAGAGTTCATCTGTTTCTTTAGCTCCTGCATCTGAAAAGGTTGTGTGGTCCATATTTTCCTAGAGTCGGGTACCCATCAGATCTGGGTATCCTATGGACTCAAGCCTAGAAACAGAACTTCTCAATGAACTAAATACAAATAGAAAAATTATTCTTTTGATCAAATCACTTTGAATACTATATCCAGGTGTTACTTACACACAGTGTATAATATTGTTTCCCAAATATAAGTATCACATGACTTATCTTTTATCCAGGTGAACACAGGTTACCTGCAGATAGACAACTGCATCATAGAGAATGGAATGATCTGCGCCCAGAACCCCAGCACAGTCCACATCAAGTTCTGCACCTTCCGCCACGCCACCGTTATCCTGCAGAACATGAACACCAGCATCATCGAGAACTGCGAGTTCTCCCAGAGTGACAGCGCCAACATCATCATCGAAGGCTACCCGAAAGATTTCAAAAACTGGTCCTACTCGTATTTAAAGGAGCGGAGCAACGCTATTTACCAACAGAACCGGTCTCTTCACAGGAAGAAACACATCCTCAAAGCCAGCAACAGCATGACGTCAACAATCCGCTCGTCCTTCACAGCTAAATCCATGACCACAGTCCAATCCGGCCAACTTTGTGACTCCATCTCCCACGACCAAAGCTGTAGCTTTGATGAGCCTGGGGCCAGTTTTCTTAACCCCAGCCTTCTTGGACCAAAATATCTTGGCTCAGAAAAAGACAGCTCTGTTGGCTGTGGAGACCTTCAATCACTCTACCAAGACTCAACTTCCACTGAACAGATAAACCTCCACCCCTCGGCTGTGTCTTTATCTAAACACCCACAAGACAGCAAAGAAAATAATTCACCAGATAATTTAGCTAAAACCCCTTCAGGTAATTTATCTTCTAATGAAGAAACAAAGGAATCGCAACAACTAAGTCAGAATGGCCTAAGCGAGAAGTCCCCTGCAAACGACGTCGTACCGTTAGTTCATAAACAATCTTCGTTAAAAAGAAACGACAGGAGGAAAAGTGTCGACAGTCGTGTTGGTTTTCAAGTGGACGAAAAGTCCAAAGTTCATATTCAGGGACTACTGGATAGTGTACAGTACTCTGTGAGCGCCGATGCAAACAACTCAAACAATTATACCCCAGCTAAAGAGGTAAAATCAAAAACAGTTCAAAAAGCAGCGAATCAAAACAAGCCATCGTGCCCTGATGTATCAAACAGCAATGCTGTCCTTCATGTTGTACCTTACACTGTCTCCCAGCTACCCTTGGTGAGTGTTTGTGAACATGAGAACAACAACCCCCAGTCCCAGGGTGATTCTCTTGGACTTGGCTCATCACCTCACCAAAACCTGGCCATTGATAGGTCGCAGCCTGTGTCAGATGAGGTTCAAAATCAAAATAATAATTGTAATAAAATGTTGGTTGACGGTTCTCAAACTGTGAAATTGGAACATATTAATTCTCACCATTCGGAACTAAAGTGTTCACAGGATATTTCTCCAGGTACCAGTCGTTCTAATACTACTCTGACTGGCTTAAGTGGTTCTCAACATATTTCAATTTCACAAAACTCTAGTGATTCTCACGCTAAATCTGGGCCCAGTGGTTCTCATAGCTCTCAGACAGGACCAAGTGGTTCTCATACCACTATTGCTGGACCATGTGTTTCTCATATTTCACAAGACCCCAGTGGCTCACCTATTTACGCTGGGCCCAGTGGTTCTCATTGTACTCCGACAGGACCCAGTGGTTCTAACCTTACTCCACAAGACCCCAGTGCCTCACATATTCACACTGGACCCAGTGGTTCTCATCAGATGGAGGCAGGCCCCAGCAATGCGGGATGTGCCTCAGCCAATCAACATGCAGGAGACAAGAAAAGCCCCACGAAGCCCCCCATCAGAAGATCACAGAGTGACGAAGTGCTTCTAGAGTCTGACGAGGATTTATCTTCATTAAATGATTTTGAGGACTCAGTGGTGGGGTCCATAGAAGACGCCAGTGAGTAGAAATTGTTTTCTTTATGTTTTTAATGCTGTCACAAATGGAAGTCAGTACATATGGTTAAAAGTTAAATTCTCTGGCAGTCCTTGAGGCAAGTGAAGTAGAGTGTACCTGTTTCTGTCAACTCTGCATATGAAAGTAGGGTTGCCAGATACCTTTTCCAAAAATACTGGACACCTTTCCATCCTTCCCTTCTCAGGTATGCCGCAAAGCAGAAGAAGGGGGGTAACAGAGTATTATTCATATACTTGTCCAGTATTTATATTTATTTTATCCTGGACAGTCTGCTCAAATACTGGACTGTCCAGTTCAAAACTGGACACCTGGCAACCCTATATGAAAGGATAGTTGGGTGAGCACTATGCTCAGCTGCCTTTACTTTCCCTAATTAGGTACTTATTAGAGCTGGGTGGACTCAGGGACGTTCTACTGACTTGAACATGAATTCGAAGTCGACTGTCAGGTTAGCAGTCTAGTGCTCTACCATAAGGGCATGCCATCCTCTGCATAGGATTAGAGCATCATTATAGTTTTTGGTTTGGTCTGGAGGCCACTGTTAGCAGGGAGATTACTCTGCTATACTAGACAGAGCTACTGTAATAATCAAGTATGCTATTAAAAACAAGAGAGTCTGAATCAGCTAATTATCCTATCTTTCACAATTATCTTTTGCATTTATTTTTGTTGCTACAAATTATTTTGTCCAGTTCCAATTATCATTCTAATTAGTGTTTTAATTAAAAGCTAGTTTTCCTGCGCTAAAAATACTTCCCTCAGGAGGAAATTAATACACAACCCCCTTCCTCCCCCCACCACCATAATTTATGGCAGGGAAGTAAAAATACACAACCCCCACCTCTCCTGCTGTCTTTTATTTTATAAGACTTAAACAAGTGTAAAATGATTTTTATTTCTAGCTTTGTTGTGTAGTGTTAGTTTAACTGTAAAGCTTTGTAAACAACACTTTTTAAACTTAAGAACCAGAGGGTAACTCATTTGGTGCTCTAGGGGTAACTCATTTGGTGGTCAGTCAAATCACAACAATACAAGTGATAATCACTTGACACGCCTATTATTTTCTATTTCACTATTGAACTACTGTACTCATTCTAGATACATATACAACTATTCTTGATTTCAACGTCCCACTGAGTACCTCTCACACTCAATACCTAACCCCTAACTCCTTAGCTTTCATACCATAACAAAATTGTTTTCTACATGCCACGTAACTATCTTTTATGTGCCTCACATTTTCATTCATTCATTATACACCAGCTTCAACGTTCATTCACACTAATTTACACTCATAAAACATATATTTTATAACACCAAAACTAATATCTAAACAATTAAGGGGAGTTAGCTCTGACAATTCAGGGGAGTCAACTCTAATGTCTACAGATGATGGTCACAATGCCTTGAGCAGTAGTGGCAGTGACAGCAGTGACACAGAGAGCAGGAACTACACCAACTCAGAAGAGAACTTCTCATCAGGTGAGGAGTCTGTGATCATGCTGCCTCACCTGCAGGAGATCCACCTGGACCACCCTGACATGGTCATGTCACCACGCATTGACCACCCCGGGCTGATGACCTCACCCCGGGGCCTCAAGGCTGAGATTGAATCTATCAACAGCGAGTGCACCAGGCCAGTCCCAGTCAATGTGTCGGAAGATTCCCTCATGAGGTAATTTTAAACTTCTTCAAACTTGCTAGCATTCATTTATTTATATTTAACTCTCTGACCTCCATTAGGTTCATTAATGTCTATTAGACTTATTAAACTAGTTTGTACTAGTTCATAAACTGGTCGTGACAAGATTTTGAATTATTAGATCTTTATAATTTTGACATGTCAAGTGTAGTTTACATCTACAGGATATTAAACTTGTTATTCTTTTTCAATAAACGACAAAATTGTCATAATATTATGACAAGTATAGGATAAAAAATTTAAAAATTGATATATTTATTTTTTACAATGTTAACTTAAATGTTCCACCCTAGTTCTTACGTGGGTCAGATAGAAAGTTGCCTGACGTTAAATTTTAAAAATGTTCCTGCGTAGTTCTTACGTAGGTCAGATAGAAAGTTGCCTGATGTTAATTTTTAAAAATGTTCCTCCGTAGTTCTCACGTGGATCAGATAGAAAGTTGCCTGACATTAAATTTTAAAAATTGTTCCTCCGTAGTTCTTACATGGGTCAGATAGAAAGTTGCCTGATGTTGATTTTTAAAAATTGTTCCTCCGTAGTTCTCACGTGGGTCAGATAGAAAGTTGCCTGACATTAAATTTTAAAAATTGTTCCTCCGTAGTTCTTACATGGGTCAGATAGAAAGTTGCCTGATGTTGATTTTTAAAAATTGTTCCTCCGTAGTTCTTACATGGGTCAGATAGAAAGTTGCCTGATGTTGATTTTTAAAAATTGTTCCACCCTAGTTCTTACGTGGGTCAGATAGAAGGATGCCTTATCCACCAATGCCGGATGAACCACAGTAAAGGTGGCGTTGTTGTCAGCCTACAGGCCCATGCCATTGTGTCTGAGTGCGACATCAGCAACGTGGGCTATGGCATACGCTGCATTCAGAATGCACGGGTAACTGTTGAATAATTTTTTTTTTAGTTTTTTTTTTTAATCTCATATAAGTTCATATAAAGCATGGTAAATATTTTACAAATTATTACAATTTTTAAAAATATTAATTTATTTTACAAAAATTAGAAGCTGTGTAATAACAGTCATAAAAGTTAGTTTTAAAAATCAATAAATTAATAAATTTGACTGCTCTTTACATATTTATTTTGTTAATGACAAATATTTTACTAATTATTAAAATTTTTAAAAATATTTTTTTTTAAATTAGAAGCTGCCTAATAATGGTCATAAAAACTAGTTTTAAATATCAATAAATTAATAAATTTGACTGCTATTTACATATTTAATTTGTTTATGACCCACGCAGGTAGTTATATTGAAAAATAAAATCCACCACTGTCGGACATCTGGCATTTTTATGAGGCTGGCAGCGTCAGGTCTGGTCGCAGGCAACGACATCCACTCAACCAATGAGGCTGGGATTGACATCAGGAAGAGTGCCGACCCTCTGGTCCAGGTAGATGGTGCTTGTGTTGTTTTCTGTAGCTTCTGTTGGATATAAACTATCATACAGTTGGGAGGTCACCGTGGTCAACAGGCTGGGGACAGCCACTCATCTAGGAGAGACAACTCCAAAATCAAACAATTGCCGCCTTGTAGTTTATTCCTGGTTGGACAAAGGCTATTAAAGTAAATCAAAAAAGAAAAGCAGCCTGAAATCAGATTCAACGGCTTACATAGCGCATAATAAGTTGGCAAATAATACTTAATTGTTTTGGAGGGGATCTCTTCCAACTCTAAAATTAAGAACGAAGAAGAAGAATAAAGATACCAGTTGTATATTGCTATTGTCCTTTGCTGAAAAGTCTTGTTAAGTCATTTTAAGGGTTATGTAATGATCATGAAACTGTTTCAGTACAACCAAATTCACCATGGAAAAAGATCAGGAGTTGTGGTTCTTGGAAGTGGGCGTGGTCACATTAAAAAAAATGATATCTTCAGCAATGCAGAGGCTGGAGTTTACATCCTGTTTGGGGGGAATCCAACCGTCAGGTATATAAACTTTACATTCTGTTTGGGGGAAATCCAACCATCAGGTATATAAACTTTCCATTCTGTTTGGGGGGAATCCAACCGTCAGGTATATAAACTTTCCATTCTGTTTGGGGGAAATCCAACCATCAGTATATAAACTTTCCATTCTGTTTGGGGGAAATCCAACCATCAGGTATATAAACTTTCCATTCTGTTTGGGGGGAATCCAACCATCAGGTATATAAACTTTCCATTCTGTTTGGGGGGAATCCAACCATCAGGTATATAAACTTTCCATTCTGTTTGGGGGGAATCCAACCGTCAGGTATATAAACTTTCCATCCTGTTTGGGGGGAATCCAACCGTCAGGTATAAACTTTACATTCTGTTTTTTCGTTGTTGTTGTTTTTTGTGAACTATTATTTGTCTGTATTTAAAATTGAAACTTTACATTCCTTTTTTTTTGTGAACTATTTTCGTCTGTATTTAAAACAAAAGTTATTGATATTACATGAAAAGCATCACCTAAAGTTGTCTCATATTACCTGTGATATTATTTGCCTAACACAAAAGTAGATCATCATATGCCAAAGTTTCCCTTGCAGTAATTTTTAGATTTATTAATTGCTGCCTCTACTTATAAAAATTGTCTTTAAGTATATACAAAGCCCTGTCTGAGTTGAATGAGTAGGTTTTTGTTACTTCAAAAGTTTATTGCATGTAGTTTTTATTTTTGTATTCACAGTGAGAACTACATTTACGATGGGCGGGCAGCGGGTGTGGCTATCAATGCTGGTGGGAGAGGCTGTGTCATAGGTGAGGATGTATTCATTTATAAAGCAGGGATGGGCCTTATCGCCATGCTAAAGTTCCTAGCTGGCGTTAACATGCACTGATAAAATCTCTGTGCTAGCAAGATGTGAGTTCTGAATAATTCCATTGTTGAGATGCAAATTTAAACGTAAAGTAGAGATAACTTACAAAGTGGGGGGAGGTCAAAAATGTCAAGAAGGGTATCTTTTGATAGAAGGGTCTGGGAGGTCTAATGGAGGGGGTGGGGGAGTATATTGAGGAATGGGGTATGTCAGATTAAGGGGTGGGGGAGTAGATTTAGGAATGGGGGAGCTCAGATTGAGGGGTGGGGGAGGTCATGTTGTGGTAGCTGGAGGTTTAAAAAAAATACATAAATAGTTGAGTTTTTCTGAAAAATGTTGTTTAGGCTCTATGAGTCTATGGTGCTCTGTGGGCCAAATAAAAGCAGAAAAAGAATACATCTGCTGTCTTAACCATTCCTTTTTTTAAATAGTTTTTTTATCTCTTGTTTTAATTATTATTTTATTTGTTGTAAAATTGATGCACAAACAGAAGAAAAAATTATTTACTGTGTTTATTTCTTGAGGTTTTTAAAAAAAAAATTTGGTGACCATCTCTGTAATTATTGAATTAATTCTCATTACACCAGTCTAATTTACTGACTGAGGTATATTCATATTTCTCTGACAGACAATGTTATCCGGGGCAACAAGTGGGGAGGAGTTGATATACGAAATGGTAGCTGCCCACTGGTCAGTGGCAACACCATCATTAATGGTCTCAGTGATGGCATCGTTGTAGGCGCTGGTGGCAAGGGCATGATAGAAAACAATTTCATCAGTGGTATGTTGGTCACTTTTATAAAACAATTCCTGAGCCATTTACAAAACTTCTGAATTTTATTTGTTTTAATTTGATTTATGAATGTTATATGTCCAATCCATTTTTTAAAAAATTCCTCATCAGGTAATGTAGGCTGCGGCCTGTGGCTGCTATCAGCCAAACATTTGTATATCCATGGCAACCAGATCTGTAACAGTGGTCACTGTGGAATTATGTTGGTGGACATGTCAGTAAGTCTCAGTGTCTTGACAGGGATTAAAACATTGATTTTGAAAGCTTTGACACTTTTATTTCATTTGAAGATAAGTGGGTTGTAGGTTACATTAGTTTCTTAGGTCCATGCAGGAAAAATTTTCTTATGTGATTTAAAATATCTTTACATTTAATCACAATGGTGCATGAAATATTTTCATAGGTGATTTAAAATATCTTTACATTTGATGAAATCAGTGCTCAAAATATTTTCATAAGTGATTTTTTTCAATGTTTTATTCAATCAAATCTTTGCTGGATATATTTTCATAGGTATTTTTTTTTATATTTTCATTTTTTGCTGGAAATATTTTCTCAAGACATAAAAAATTTTGTTCAGACAATCAGCATGGACCAGGAGAGGCTGATGCTGGACCTCAGCAACAAGACCTACTCACACTACGACGACAACTGCCCCTTCCCAGAACCAGAGGGGGAGTTTGCTGTTATACAGTACAACAATATATACCACAATAAAGGTATGGTACAACATCTACCACAACAAATTTAGGTACAGCAACATCTACCACATAAAGGTAAGGTACAACATCTACCACAATAAAGGTAAGGTACAACATCTACCACAATAAATGTTGGGTACAACAACATCTATCACAAGAAATGTTAGGTACAACAACATCTACTACAACATAAATTAGGCACAGCAACATCTACACAATAAATTTAGGTACAGCAACATCTATAATAACAAATTTTAATTACAACACCTACCACATGAAATGTTAGGTGCAGCAACATCTACCACAACAAATGGTAGGTACAACATAGATAATTTAATCGAAGTTTTTCTGATCATCTTAAAAAAATGTGTAATTTAATTTAATTGAAGATTTTTTTCTGTTCCTCTAATGAATATTGAAATAGAAAATGATCTGAAAGATTTGTTGTCCACAGGTCAAGGTGTCCTGATACAAATAGATGAGGAAGTGAAGTTGTTACACAACGCCATCCACGGCAACCAGAAGGATGGGATCCTCATGTCCCATGCTGCCCCTGTGGTTGTCATTGGCAACAGTGTCACCAGTAATGGCAGGAATGGGATCGTCACATCCACAGTCGATCAGGTTTGGTTTTAAACATTCACTTCTCTGTTGACCTTGGGGTCAGAAAGTATAACATTCACTCACCTGTTGACCTTGGGTTCAGAAAGTATAACATTTACTTTTCTGATCACCTTAGGTATTACACTCACTGCTTAGTTGGTGTGATGGTCATAAAGTATTACAAAATACATAAAGTATTCCTTTTGGTTGCTACAGATAGCAGTATCTGGCAACGGTATCTATGGCAACCTCCAACATGGCGTCATATGCCGTAACCAGTGTGTGATGGAGGACAATGACATCGTAGGACAAGCCCTGTGTTCTGTTGTGGTTCAAAGTGGTGCCGACCTCCAGGTATTGCAAGTGTTGGGGTGGTGTTAGTGTTGGTAGATCTAGTGGTGTTGGTAGATCTAGTGGTGTTACTGTTAGTAGTTCCTGTTGTGTTGGTAAATCTTGTGGTGTTTGTAAGAAGTGGTGTTTGTGTTTTTAGTTCTTATGGTGTTAGTAGTTTTTGTGGTGTTTGTGTTAAAAGTGTAAAAACTTCCTGTTTGTTAGTTGTGAAACATGCCAGCAGCCCTTGACATGATAGTAACTAGTAAAATATTGACTATCTAGATTAAAAACTGACTGGCTTAAAAATGTATGTTCTCAGCTGATTGGTAACAGGCTCTGCTCTTCACACTCCCCCGCTGTCAAGGGGGAGGAGTCATCTGTCATTGTGGCTAAAAGTAACAAAGTGTATGACAGAGGTGGCGGAGACTTTTCTTCTGATGGGCAGTTGACATTGACTGACAACTCCACCATTAGCCCCTTAAATGGCTCAAAGTAAGTTTGTTTTAAATCCCTACATTTTACTCATGGTTTTTTGTCTTAGTTAGTCATATCCAAGTGACTCTTCACACCAAAATATAAAAATAGAATGTACAAAGATGGCTATATTTATTTCATTTTAATGCTTGTACAAATTTATTTCTTATGACAGGAAACAATCCAAGAATGACGTGATGAAAACAGATTTCCTGACGGTGCCAAAGCCCCGCCCACACATCACCACCCCGCCCCCCTTTACAATAATTCCTAGCCACACCTCGGCCATGGCGACTAAAGTTGCCTCTCGACATTTCTGTGACCATCGGAGCAAGCTGTGCTCCATCCTGTGAGAGTTAGGACTTCAGGTCATGTTTCAGGTTTCCATGCTCAAATCTATTGTTGATATAAAGATTGCCTTTATTTGTGCCAGGTTTTTCTGTAAAGTTATGTGATAGTTATTTATTCTATTTTTTTTTATTTTGAGTAATTTATTTTTAATTTTAGAAAGTGTTCACATATTTATTGTGATTTTAAAAGCTATAAAAAAGATGACTGTGTTATGTAATATTTTATAACAACTTGTTGTCCACTAACTGTTGTGGACAACATGTTTTTTATTAATTTATACATTTTATTTTAAATTAAATTCTTGTCCAACTGATTTAAATACCATGACAACATATAATAATTGACCAGAAAAATTGAATACCTGGCTAAAAGATTTGCAACTTCGTTTTTTATTTCAGTCAAAACAATTTTTTTTAACCCATTAATTTTTTAAAAAATCAAAATAATTATTTTATTATAATTATGAATAAAAAAATAGATAATACTCGTGATAATAACTGAATATTTTGGCAATCTTATATTTAAGTCCGTGTTTTTTTTGTATACATTTATTTATTTATTTATTTATTTTATGCTAGTGACTGCAGTCAGTTTATTTTACATATATTTTTAGCATTTAGAATGATTGTGTAATATAATTTGATTACTTTTGTTTTTTTCTATTTTCCCCACACAATGTAAGTCACAACTATAAACAAGAGAGGCTCATGTCTCCACTAACATCACAGTTGGTTCTCAAACACAAATCTCTAGCCACTAGGAGTCACAAACAAATCTCCGCTTACTTTAAAACAATTTTTATACAAACATTATTTGTCACAATCACCGAATTAAATGTTAAGAAATATATAGAATGTTTCAAAATTCATTTTAACAAATTTACACTGTACATCCATACATACCAATTCTTTATGTCTGATTAATTTGTTTTAAACAATCTTCCTCGAGTAGATATTAGATTTGTACATATTGGTTAACTTATTGTTACAATAATTATTATTTTTATTTCCCACAAAATTTATCTTTCTAGTTAAAAAGTTGTTTTTTCCTAATTATGAACACTGCAAAAAGTTTTAACTACTTTCTTTCATTTGAAGGAGCTGAAATTTTTTTTAATTATCCTTGACTTTTGCCAGTATGTAATTTAAAAAATTGGTATGATCACTGTGATATATTGAAAATAATTCTTAAAATAATTTAGGTCAAAGCTAAATCTTGTCCCTTACAATGCTATTTTATGAAAACACTGGACATTTTATTTATGTTTACATTTTTAATTTTTTTACTAAAATATAATTTAAAAACTAAAACTTTTAAAATCATGCAATTTTGGGCTATCCCTACTCAATTTCTAAGTTGAGTGTTATATGCTTATAGTAATAGAAAAGCAATCAGTTATTTAAAATAAATAGATAGCAAAGTTTTTACCATAGAATCACAATGTATGTGTACATTTCTGTCACTCCGTCCAATCTTCACAATTAATTTAGCTTAACTATAAGCAATAATTGTTTTGTTTTAATCAATTTTTTTCAAAAACTTATGACAATTTTCTATACATTTTATTATTTTATTTATGAAACTTTAATTCTTTGCCTGACATGTTTACTATAGATTAAACTGAAATTTTCAAAAAAAATGTTTTCGCTCTTGTTGAATATTTTGTAAATTAACCAAATTAGTTAACAGTGACAAAGGTTTTCGAACTTGAGGAAATGATCCAGCTCCTTACTCAAACATCTAAAGTTTTAAAAACACCAAGAAATAACAAGCATGAGTTTTGAGATTTGATGAGTAGTTTATTTATAAAAGTGACCTGATCACACACAGCCACCAGGCTTAACAAATGATTCTATACAGACAGTACAAAAATTGTCATAGTGGGATGCAACAAGCCAAAAGATGGTGGCATTGTTCATTTTTTTATCTTTGGGTCTATGGATGGTTGATAAAAATATTTATCAGCCCACAATAGACTGAAAAACTTTCTCTAATAAGACCAGATGCACATTAGTAACCTTTTTGAGCAGAGCAGGGGTCATAACCTTTTTGGTTCCATAATCTCAGTGCTGCTAATTATGAAACCTTACATTACATGAAAAAAAAAATGTTTTTTTTATCTATTTTACTGATAGTTGCAAGAACTTGTATTTTGTTAAATAACTTTAGTTGGTTGTTTGGTTGCGATGGTTAAAATAATTCAACATTAAAATTAAAATCACTAGCAAGGTTTATAGTTTTATAATAAAAGGATTTTAAAATTTATAAACAAAATTATTTCACATAACTCTTTCTAAGTAAAGTCTGGAATCAAAGTAGAAAATAATTGAAAATATAAAAATAAACTAAAAAGTGACCTATAGGTTAATAACCCCTGCCTCATAGTAACACTTGTTTACATTACAGTAAACTTTTCTTTCTGCAATAAACATTCAAAATATGAATAAAACAGTGTAAAATGTCTTGACAGGGTTTGTAAATAACGTTAGCATGAAAGATAAGACATTGACCATACTGTCAAGAACTGTAGAACATGGCATGGCACTACAAAATTACAGACTGGTCACATTGACCATACTGTCAAGAACTGTAGAACATGGCATGGCACTACAAAAATACAGACTGGTCAAAGAGTTGCAAGGACATGCGGAGAAAAAAAAGTACACAACCACAATGAGCAACAGTATCACAAGCAGGAGCAACAGAACAGCGCAGGAAAACATCAGAACTGTTTCAATAGAGAGCGCCATGTTGTTTTAAATCTTAATAGTTCTCATTAAAATGCAGGCAGGACAGTGTAGTATCAAATTGAGCTAATTTTTGCCAGTACTACTGAAATGGGTTAAGGTAATAATTGCAACTAGGGCTCAACTAGTTTTTTATTGAGATTAAGGGTAGCAGTACTAGCAAATAATAGCTTAAATTAAATCTTGCCAACATTAATAAACACACATTTAACATAGGAAATGTTTCAATAAGAATTGTATACACATAAAGCTCTAATTTAAATTTAAATACGCTCCTCTGGAAAAATGTTTTTCACATCAAAATGTCAAGAAATGGTATAAAAATATACTTCCAAAGCACAGCAGTTAGAGATGGCGCTTGAGTAAGCAACGATTGCAGAGATAGGTGATGCAACACAGTGATACTGTCACAGCTACAGAGATGAAGCAAGCCCATAGATATTTCAACACTGAGATTCTATCACTACACATGTCTAGATACAACATCAGGTGGGGAACTGTTGTTGATTTCATTAATTAGCATGTTGCTTTAAAAAAATTATAGTTTTAACTGGTGATTTAACACATTTTTAAAAATTCTAATTCTATTATATTAATCTAATTTAAGTTTACCAGCACAATTCAATACCAGAATTATAAACTTCTTAATTTAACTTTGTTTACTAGCAAAAAAATATGCTGTTAATTCAATACATATGACAAGAATTAATTGACACTAGTAAAAAAACATGGCTAGGTATTATGCAAATTGTTGTAACACCAACAAAAAAAACAACAAAAACAAAAGCCAGTCTCATTGGAAGACATGTACAATACTAGAAGCTGTGACACAAACAGGAGGAACAAATCTTATCACAATCAGAGCTCATCACCAGTTGTCTTTCCTTGGTTACACACACATCAAAGCTGTACAAGATTCCATCAAAATAGTTGTGGCAATAAATCAAAACAAAATCATTGTGAACACAGACTGAGGATAACAAGGTGTAATTGATAAGTGTGGGTAAATTAATAGTAATTAACATCACTGTATATAAACTAGTTGTATAATTGTATAATTAAAAGTTTATTGTTTAATTAAAAATGGAATTAACTAGCCCACATTCACAAGACATTAGCAATTAAAAAGGAACAATCACGGTACTAATAAAACCCAAGTTTAATTAGACTTTAATAAGCCGACTATGTCCAATCTAACAGTAATATGAGATAGAGTGCCAACTTTAATAAGGGGAAATAAGTCTAATCTAACTATGATAAGGGGACAAAAGTCCAACTAAACCTTTATAAGGGGACATTAATCAAGTCAAGCACCGGTTTTATAAATACTTGACAATTTCATAAATGCAGTAGATGGAGAAATGACCAACAAATTTCTAAACCTAGTTAGAGATCATTAAAACCATGTAGATATCAAATGGTTTTATATATAACTCATTAAAAAAGTTGGAGTAAATATTACTAATGACGTGTCAGTAAGACTTCGACAAGTGCCAAATATACAAAATACATGTCTGTCAGCCACACCCTAACATCACTTAGACAATGTAACTAAAAGTTAACAAATCAGTTCTATATCATCATCAGATAAAAAGCCAGTAGAGAAACATTACTAAATAAACATAGTGGCAAGATAAGTTCTACACTAATATTTACAAACTGAACAAAAACCAGTGGGAAAATACTTGAGTAGCACCATTGAGATAAACATCACTCATACACAATTTGATATTCTAAAGTAATTAGCTAATTAATTATCTAATTAATTCATTCATTCAGTCAAGTAATCACTTTTTATTCATCTAAACTGCATTTAAAATACATTTTACTTTGGAAACAAAAATGTATCACAATAAAATGAAATAATTTATTTTTTCTTTAACGAAATATTCATTTAAAGCTTTGAAATTATAAATAGAAAGAGAAAAATGTTTAATTTTAATCTTAAATAAAAATACCAGTTCACTATTGCACGTTTTGACATCAAATCAATACACATACGTTAATTAATAAGGTGAGTATTAGTGATAAAATAATGTTAAGATTAGCACGCCTGTGGTTATTAAAGACTATAAGAATATGGGGCATGTGGTAAAGTACAGGGTACTAATACAGTTTTCTGTTATCAAATATAACATTCTTTAAGCTTATAACATCAATGAAATACAAAATGGCTCAATGTTCAAACCAAACTGGCAAGTCAAAAAATGCATATAAGTACTAAACCAAACGTAACTGCACAACAAGCCAAAATGGCATGAACAGCAAGCCAAATTTTAATGAACGTGATGCCAAACGATAATGGACAACAAGCCAAAAATGAACAAGCATCAATAATTAAGCAGATCATTCAAAATGAATCAGAGCATGATGCATAGCAATTGTAACAAATGTAAATAGCAGTTATTCAATGTACAAGGGATTGTTTTCCCTATTTTGAAATTCAACCTAAAATTTTATTAAAGATTCCTAAGGGTTATTTAGAGTCTTTGGCTCCCCCTTCACTTCTAATTTTGTATCCAATTGACTAGAATAAGAGATAATGCAAGTCGTCTACTACATTCTAGATTTAACTTAATCATTCATGACATGATAGTTTAAAAAAAAAACATGAAAAACAGCAGAGGTAGTCAGAGAATTAACAAAGGCAGGTTCTAGTAGCATATGTTACAGCCTAAAACAGCCCTGTAACATACAATATTAACGTACAGCATACAATTACTAGAGTTTTATCTGCACCTAACTGTTGGATGTTATTTTCGTGAAATTACGTTCTGTAAAAAATACATCAGCATATTAGGCTGAGTTCAAAAGCCAGTAAATTTTAAACCATCTGTAAATTGGTTTTATGCTTTAACTTCTAGGTTATAATTCCCATTACTTTTATTCTTTTTTAACTGTTTTCATATAATATACATAACTAGAAGAAATAGGCTAACTAGCTGTTTTACTTTTCACAATATTTACAGTAGCTACAATTCATTTTTAAACTGCCAGTACTACATCCTTTTTACAGTCATAACATTAGGAAAGACCAATAGCAGTATCAAAGTGTGATCAGAACAAGAAAAACTACTCTACAGTCACAATACATTTAACTTTTTTTCTTTAAGTTCGTTCACATCACCCCAGCGCCCCCCTTCACCACCCCAATAGCTAGCAGACCACCTAACTCTAGAATACTAAACCCAGTAATGGTAGTTAAGTACTAAACTACACGACACCCTTATCACAAATGTGAACATTGTATTCACTTAAAACAACAGATTCCTATACTTCTCCCATTGAAAGTCACAATATTTTATCACCAAAACTGGCAGCCAATAAAAACATCAGAATCTGTATCACTAGGGTCTATAGTCACCTTAAACTAGTTGGGAGTTGTCTAATCAACAGAAAACCAATTATTTAATATTAGTAAAAACAAGAACTCCACAATAGAACTGTTAAGGGCAGACACTGGTAGTGTTAAGATTCTCTCTAGGAAAGTACAAACAGCTTACGATATTAGTATAAAAATGTCCACTTAAGTTTTAGTGATTACCTACAAATGTTAGGATAAGCTAACTAAAAAATGTCCAGTTATAGTTTAGTGATTACCTACAAATGTTGGGATAAGCTAACTAAAAAATGTCCAGTTATAGTTTAGTGATTACCTACAAATGTTGGGATAAACTAACTAAAAATGTCCACTTAAGTTTTAGTGATTCCCTAGAAATGTTGGGTCCACTGTGGAAAGTTTTGCTGAGAGAAATGAATGGATGCAGTAGATCTAGTGATTGCCTAGAAATGTTGGGTCCACTGTGGAAAGTTTTGCTGAGAGAAATGAATGGATGCAGTAGATCTAGTGATTGCCTAGAAATGTTGGGTCCACTGTGGAAAGTTTTGCTGAGAGAAATGAGTGGATGCAGTAGATCTAGTGATTGCCTAGAAATGTTGGGTCCACTGTGGAAAGTTTTGCTGAGAGAAATGAATGGATGCAGTAGATCAGGGTCTGCAGGTCAGAGCACTCAATCACCTGGGAAACACAAACATACCAGGTCAGAGGTCACTGTGTTGAGGTCATGGTTAAACTAAACACATACATATATTTTAAAATGTTACCAGTTAGAAATCACTTTGGTAAACTAACAAATCTCTGGAAAAGGTACCTGAGTTTCAACTTGTTTGGATGCATCTTTTATAAAGTTCAAGGTCAGCTTGGACTGACCATCATCTGATGAACTCTTCAACTGGGCAAACCTGTAGCTCCACAAGATGCTCTGTCATGTAGGATAAAACAGTCAACAATAGTGACAGTGAATGGTCTGACATGTGGTCAGACCACATAGTCAGACCACATAGTCAGACCACATAGTCAGACCACATAGTCAGACCACATAGTCAGACCACACAGTCAGACCACATAGTCAGACCACTTAGTCAGACCACATAGTCAGACCACATAGTCAGACCACATAGTCAGACCACATAGTCAGACCACATAGTCAGACCACATAGTCAGACCACATAGTCAGACCACTTAGTCAGACCACATAGTCAGACCACATAGTCAGACCACATAGTCAGACCACATAGTCAGACCACATAGTCAGACCACATAGTCAGACCACATAGTCAGACCACATAGTCAGACCACATAGTCAGACCACATAGTCAGACCACATAGTCAGACCACATAGTCAGACCACATAGTCAGACCACATAGTCAGACCACATAGTCAGACCACATAGTCAGACCACATAGTCAGACCACATAGTCAGACCACATAGTCAGACCACATAGTCAGACCACATAGTCAGACCACATAGTCAGACCACATAGTCAGACCACATAGTCAGACCACATAGTCAGACCACATAGTCAGACCACATAGTCAGACCACATAGTCAGACCACATAGTCAGACCACTTAGACCACATAGTCAGACCACATAGTCAGACCACATAGTCAGACCACATAGTCAGACCACATAGTCAGACCACATAGTCAGACCACATAGTCAGACCACATAGTCAGACCACATAGTCAGACCACATAGTCAGACCACTTAGTCAGACCACATAGTCAGACCACATAGTCAGAACCACATAGTCAGACCACATAGTCAGACCACATAGTCAGACCACATAGTCAGACCACATAGTCAGACCACATAGTCAGACCACATAGTCAGAACCACATAGTCAGACCACATAAACCACATAGTCAGACCACATAGTCAGACCACATAGTCAGACCACATAGTCAGACCACATAGTCAAATGACCAACTAGATAGTGGTCGAACTAGTGAGATGACCATTATGACAGTGGTCAGCATTCCCTTACAAGTAAAAAGTCTTGTAAAAATGAGCTACAAATTGAACAGAATCTAAGACAAAGCTACCCCACAGGTTAAGTTTACCTTAGTCTGATGATCATACAGAGAGAAGCCTTGCTCCAGGTCCAGAATCAGACCAGACAGGTGATCTTGCCAGGTACAACCAAATGTTTTACTCTGGGGAGGGGGGGGGGGGGAGAAGAGAGACAAAAAATGTTTAACTTCCAATGAGAAGCTATTTATAAGACAGAGCCCACAGTCCATAATGGCTCTGATATAATATGCAATACAATCACTGTTAAGGGTAGATAACAGTTTTCATTATGAAGACACAAAAATCTTAATTAACTACCACAAACAACAGTGTGGGTGGGTCTGTATATTTTAATCATTACAGTTGTCCATTCTTGAACCGCTTTGTCAATAATATTTTTTAAAGATGTGTAGTGTATATTAAAAAGTGTGACTTAGCTAATTATAGGATTTACAGAAATCAAACTACTGTGTCAGAACATAAGTAGGTTAGGTTGATTTACATTGGTGCTTATAGTAGTGGCGTCACTAGGAAGGGTGACACCTGGTATGGTCAGCACATCCAGCCCCCCCCCCCCCCCCAAGTGACACTACTGTATATCCTCTAACTACAAAACTCAACAAGTGACACTACTGTATATCCTCTACACTACAAAACTCACCAACAGACGCTGTACAGCCAGGTTGCTTGCTTTATACCAAGCCTTCTCCAGGGCCAGTAACTCAGCACGACTGTCTACACTCAGACAGATGATCTCCTTAGTGCCAGTTAAGATAGAACAACAATGCTGCCTGCTGTCTGGTAGCTCTGTGTCCTAGATGAATTGTAACAGTGTTACTGTTTGTGTCTAGTTAGTGATGTTACTGTTTGTGTCTAGTTAGTGATGTTACTGTTTGTCTAGTTAGCGATGTTACTGTTTGTGTCTAGTTAGTGATGTTACTGTTTCTCTAGTTAGCGATGTTACTGTTTGTGTCTAGTTAGTGATGTTACTGTTTGTGTCTAGTTAGTGATGTTACTGTTTGTGTCTAGTTAGTGATGTTACTGTTTGTGTCTAGTTAGTGATGTTACTGTTTGTCTAGTTAGCAATGTTACTGTTTGTGTCTAGTTAGTGATGTTACTGTTTGTGTCTAGTTAGTGATGTTACTGTTTGTGTCTAGTTAGTGATGTTACTGTTTGTGTCTAGTTAGTGATGTTACTGTGTGTGTCTAGTTAGAGATGTTACTGTTTGTGTCTAGTTAGTGATGTTACCGTTTGATTCTAGTTACAGTTTGTGTCTAGTTGGTGATGTTACTGTTTGTGTCTAGTTAGTGATGTTACTGTTTGTGTCTAGTTAGTGATGTTACTGTTTGTGTCTAGTTAGTGATGTTACTGTTTGTGTCTAGTTAGTGATGTTACTGTTTGTGTCTAGTTAATGATGTTACTGTTTGTGTCTTGTTAGTGATGTAACTGTTTGTGTCTAGTTAGTTAAGTTGTATCACACTGTTATAGTTGTATTTCAATATTTTAAAATATTTTTTTTTTTAATTGAAGAAAAGTTTGTGTTACATTTCAAATTATAGATTTAGAATAAGCATTTTATATTGAGCAGAAAGTTGTGTAGTTGACTGGTTTTAGAAAGTTACCTTAAGAAGCTTGAGCATACATTCATAAACTTTAAATTTCATCTCACATTTGGACCAGTCACTGGAGTGCATCTGTGGAGAGAAAGTTTGCTGCTCTCAATAAGGTAAAAATTGGACTGGTAAAAATTTGACTGATTATTTGATCTAACTGATCTAATTTTCTATAGTGACACTCATAATGAGTTTTTAAATCTGGCTGTTGTAACAATTAGACTCGGGGGGGGGATGACAACATCAGACATTAAACAGGCAAAAATTGTTAAAAAGCAATACAAAAATCAGACTTGCTAGAGGGGGAGAGGGGGAAGAGGCACCAAACAGGTAGACAATACAAAAATCTCAATCACTCAGGGGGACATCAAACAGGTAGACAATACAAAAATCACTCACTGGGGGGACATCAAACAGGTAGACAATACAAAAATCACTCACTGGAGGAACATCAAACAGGTAAACATCAGCAGCCTTTAGTGCCAGGAACTTCTCCCTCCAACTCTGCCAGTCCTGCTCATGGGGCAGCTTCTGGTGGGCCCATCCCATCAGGTGGATCTGGGAAAATGGTTGGCGGAGTCTTAGTTACTACTTCCCTCAGACATATACAGTCTTGTGTTTGGGTCAGTTACTGCTTCACTCAGACATATACAGTCTTGTGTTTGGGTCTTAGTTACTACTTCACTCAGGCATATACAGTTAGTCTTGTGTTTGGGTATTAGTTACTGCTTGACTCAGACATATACAGTTAGTCTTGTGTTTGGGTCAGTTACTACTTCACTCAGACATATACAGTTAGTCTTGTGTTTGGGTCTTAGTTACTACTTCACTCAGGCATATACAGTTAGTCTTGTGTTTGGGTATTAGTTACTACTTCACTCAGACATATACAGTTAGTCTTGTGTTTGGGTATTAGTTACTGCTTGACTCAGTCATATACAGTTAGTCTTGTGTTTGGGTATTAGTTACTACTTCACTCAGACATATACAGTTAGTCTTGTGTTTGGGTGAGTTACTACTTCACTCAGGCATATACAGTTAGTCTTGTGTTTGGGTATTAGTTATTGCTTGACTCAGTCATATACAGTTAGTCTTGTGTTTGGGTATTAGTTACTACTTCACTCAGACATATACAGTTAGTCTTGTGTTTGGGTCAGTTACTGCTTGACTCAGTCATATACAGTTAGTCTTGTGTTTGGGTCTCAGTTACTGCTTGACTCAGCCATATACAGTTAGTCTTGTGTTTGGGTCTCAGTTACTGCTTGACTCAGCCATATACAGTTAGTCTTGTGTTTGGGTCTCAGTTACTGCTTGACTCAGCCATATACAGTTAGTCTTGTGTTTGGGTCTCAGTTACTGCTTCACTCAGTCACAGCCTTTTATTTGGGACCTAGTTTTACTGTTCAGTGATTTAAAAGTCTGCCATAGTTTTATTGCTTATCTCAGCAATGCCAATAATAATGGCGATCAAACACTTTTGCCAGTCTTTTTTTTAACAAAATGTATTTAGCATTTAATAATTGAGAGCTAAGGATTTAATATTCATAAAATAGTTGAAGAAAATAAAATAAAATGAGCTCACATGATCTTCTTTGGTCATCAGCTGATTGGTCATCTGAATCTGACAACACACATAAAATTAAAGCTTCATTAAACAACTCATTTGAGTGAAGACACACAAAAATAATAATACATAATAATCAAAGATCGCACAACTACACTTGATAACAGCATATTCATGCCCCTTTCAATGTTTACAGTTTCAAATTTCATAAAACCACAAGTTTACGCTCTTAACAATGGGAATTTTATATGAATCTGAAAAGCTTTTAGCTAAGCCAAAAAAATCTGGTCTGGATTGATCCAATCAGTTGTGTTCATTTTACCCAAAATAACATACTAAGTGTGTGAAGCTGCTTGCAATGATGGTTATCTAACAGGTTAAAGTCTAGCTGCGCTGCAGGAATGGAATGATTAGAACTTACCATTTGTGAAAGCAAGCTTTGGGTCTTGGCTGAAATCTTTTGGTAATACGACAACATGGAAGTTTTCTCAGAAAAATAAATGGGCCCTGATTTAGATCCATCAACACCTACTATATCAAAAGAATCCTCCCTAAAACAGAAATCAAAATATTACTTGTTTTAGAAGAGAAAAAAAACATCAAAAAGTAAAAATTGCAAATAAATATTTGATTCCTGGTTTAACATTTATTTATAATTCACTTTAGTGTTTGCATAGTCCCATGAAATAAAATTAATGATACAGTATGTGATAACATGGATTGGAATAAAACCTACCTAATTTTATCAGAACCACAAATGTATCTGGATATTCTAGCATATAAAAGAGGAATTGTGAGAGCTGTCAGCCATTCTTTCTCAAGTCTTGGCAGACTTGCCAGGAGCACATCCTATAGACATTAAAACAGTTTTAGCCAGGCTATTTTTCTAAAAACTGACTATTTAAACCCTAACAATTAAAAAAACTTAAATATAAAGCATAAAACCAACCTGTTTAGCTGAACAAGGACCATCCCTTGCTTCATTACCTGTAGAATAAATAATCGAATGTTAAAACTAGTCAAACACTAATCAAAATAAATTTAAAAAACTAAATTCACACTTTTAAAATATTTAAACAAAACTTTTTATTTTTATTAACAACAATGTTTTCTTCAGCTACCTAATTGTTTTAAACTATAAAATTGTCAATACTTTTCAAGCAATATTTTGTCTACACCTCCCTACAAACATATTTTTACTAAAAAATATGTTGGCTTAAGACAAAATACAAGTCACAAGGGTGACTACAACCACATCTATTTTGCAATAACAAAATCATATGTGCTGTTCAGTACTACAGAAGACCTGGGTTAAAACATTTGGATTTGAATACTGTTTAACCTTCTGTGTTCTAAAAATACATGAATCTACTAGCTTAAAATGTCTAACCTTTACAGCTCTCCACATTCACCCCATACATGAAACTACTAGCTTAAAATGTCTAACCTTTATTGAGAAAGTAGGATGCAGGCCTGAAGTGTCTGACTGACAGGGAAACAGTGTCTTCACTAACTTCTTTAAGCAGTGACACTACCTCATCGTGTGTACAGCTCTCCACGTTCACCCCATACATGAAACTACCAGCTAAAAATGTCTAACCTTTATTGAGAAAGTAGGATGCAGGCCTGAAGTGTCTGACTGACAGGGAAACAGTGTCTTCACTAACTTCTTTAAGCAGTGACACCACCTCATCGTGTGTACAGCTCTCTACATTCACCCCATACATGAAACTACTAGCTTAAAATGTCTAACCTTTATTGAGAAAGTAGGATGCAGGCCTGAAGTGTCTGACTGACAGGGAAACAGTGTCTTCACTAACTTCTTTAAGCAGTGACACCACCTCATCGTGTGTACAGCTCTCTACATTCACACCATTCACCTGTTACAAGAAACAGATATGGGGCTTAGCGTCACAATGAAATTACATTAATTAAAAATTATTAAGATCAAAGTTCACTGAGTATTTATTTAGCAGCAGTAAAATTAGTGGCATCAAACTTAACTTTGAGATGGTTAAGACGATCATGTTTTCCTATGAAAACAGTTATCTACCTTTAACACTAATGTATAACTTATCAGAACCATTATGGACCGTTGGTTCTGTCTTATAGATGTCTTCTTATTGGAAAGTCATAAGATTAGAGACAGTAAAATTAATGACATTAGACTTTACTGTACGCTCATTAGGAAAGTATTAATATTAGCAACAGTAAAACCAAGGCTCACCCTGAGTATAGCATCCCCAACAAGCAACTGGCCACAGCGATCTGCTGCCTCATTCTTGATCAACCTGGAGATGAGCACAGGCAGCCGATGTTCAGCCCCTCCCTTCACACACAATCCAAAGCCAGCACCAGGCTCTCTTGTTATCTCCACCTCTCTCACCTGGGATAAGAAACCATTCATCTCATGCTGCGCTACTTGCATAAGATTACAGCTAGTTTTATATCAGACACATGAACTTTTCTACCAAGGGACATATATCTAGTAAGTTTAAAAAGTAAAGCCATTCATATGCAAATCTAGACATGATAGACTTTACACATCTGCAAGACAGTCCAAATTAAACTGAAGGGTTTAAATGATTTATCTGTCAATAAATACATTGGAAGCTAGTTACACGTGTTTCAAAAAATTATTATCTTAATATTTAAATCTGATATCTGCATCTCCTCAAAGAACTAAAGATCTACTAACATGTTCCCTTGATTTAAAACAACATCAAATTATATCTACCATGTTAAGAAAAACCTCATCTTCCTCATCCAGCTGAACACTGATCCACTCTTGTTTCTGCACCAGAAGAGCATCAGGATACAGCATCAGTCTGATAGGGATGGGCTTGTTCTCTGCATCTTTAAGGGAAGCTTCAGCTATTTCGGGCTGCAAACATAAGCAGTTTTACAATTGACACATCATTGCTAGTGCAAAATTTTACAGACAGGTTGTAGGACAAAATATAATAAAACTGATTTCAACAATAACGTCATGATATATGACATTACTATCTAAAATATAATGGAGAGCAACAAAGTCCGAACATGTCTAAATTATCATAGTGATCAGTTACCTTTCTACTAAAATATTTACTGAAATAGCCTATGATAAACATTATAATGCAACAAAACAAAGCAGCTTGCTTTTTTTTTTTTCTATTGTTATAATTTAGGGCCTTTTTATTTGCCTGAACAATGACCCCATAAACACAAGCTAGTGTCTCTGTTCATATTGCTTCACGTACAGTACCACATATCTATCCCACTTTATTAACTTTTCTACACAGCTACACCTAGATCTAACTTAAACAGTAAACAACTGTGATCATTTGATATTCTAAAAATAGTTCTAGGGATAATAATGAAGATCAAAATTGATAATTTTTATATTATTGTTGATAACTAATATACCGACCAGGAACTAAGAATCGCACACAACTAGACTTAACTTCTTTCTTATTGTATGTAGGCTCATTATAATACTCTTTAATTTAGGCCTAGTCTGATATTTTTATTTCCGTTTTAAAAGTTAAACAGTCGATTATAATAAGCAACTAGAAACTAGACATATAGGCTACATCTGGCTAGACTTTAGACTAGTAATGGTATTATCTATTGCTGCATAACTAACTGTTCTGATGATCTTGCAAGGTCTTGCAAGCATAATAATTTAAAGTTGAAATTATTTAGAAACTGAAAACAACTGCTTTTACTTTACTTTTATGTCATTTTATGAAAATGACTAAATGACTGTCCGCTGTGGTGTAGGATCAAAAACATTTAATCTACTCGAGAATCTAAAATACAAACTAGTCAAGCCTAGATCTGCAACTTAGATCTAAATTTTGAGACATTTTTAGTATAAATTTTTTACTCTCCTTCTCTGCTATTCTGGTGGAGAGTTGAATCATTGAATGTCTGAATGAGAAGTGCAGAATGAAGAAACTGAAAATAACTTAAATTCTAATTTATTTTTTTTTTAAGACAACAAAATATCAGACAAGCAATCAATCAACGAATACCTCTTCTGTGGCTGCCATTGAAGGAAAAGGTTGATAATAGTATTTTTAAGACATCAAATTTTAAAATAGTAAAAATTAAGCTTCATTTCTGTGTTTTGTCTGCTAGATAGATGGTGATATCACTGTCTTGCTAATACCGGAAATGCAAATTGAGTTATCTGTAGTGGTAGATTTATTTTTAAAAGAGCATTCAATCCAATCCAAAATTTATTGCAAAAACACTCTGAAATTTATAAACACTATATATTTCCAATGAAATCACTACAATACTCTTAATTCTTTTTAAAAGTAAAAAAGTTATTTCGAAATTTTTATTTGCATCTGTTCTTTTAGTCTCGCTGTACCCCGTGATGCTCGGTCTCAGCACTCTTAGCAACGCTTAGCAACTATGTATACAATTTGAGTTGTTTCCCTCAGCATCTACATTCAACTGAGTGTTGTTTCGAACTGAATAGTTTGCAATCCAAAATTATGGAGGGTTTACCATTTCTCCCAGGAAATTCGTTTCGTGATCCAACGGTAAAGACTTAAGTATATTACCTAATAAATTTTATCTCAAAATAAAAATTATTTTAAATAATCTGGGGTTGTTTTTTTTCAAGTTTTTTTTTGTGGGTCAGATTTGGTTTAAAGTTTATTTAGTTTAAAGTTAAGATTACTAGCTTGGTCAGTTTAGTTTAGATAGTTAAGACTAAGAACTTTTTAACTGTCAGTGTCATACCAAGAAGATGTAGAATCTAATCTACATTAATATTATTATTACACTACATAAGTAATATTATTATTAAGTAAGAGTTACAGACACACTGCCAGTATCCCTGATTTTTTTTTACTGCATCATCTTTCATTATTTATAACTGATATAACCTATACAATTAAAAACATGTAATCCCTGATAGAAACACAGAATAATGTTTATAAAAATTAAACAAAACTTGGAAAACATTTTAAAAGACAATGTTTAAGGCTTAATGCTACTTGTTTAATCCTTTATATAATATGCTTATTTCAGCAAATGAAGTATCATGTAAGTCAGACACTAGGATATAAAAATGGTTATGCTGTTCAAAAACGCCCTGAGCGAGGAATTGGAGGAAGTCAACTGTTTTACAACAATCTTTCTGAAGGAGAACTGGATGACCTGGCAAACTTTAACCCCACACTGACCTATGGTCAAGCTAAGCAGGCACCACCAGCAGCTTTTATACCAGCTCATGTTGCTTGGGATAAGAAGGTAGAAGCTGGTTGCTTAATTTAATTCATTGTTTTTAAAGCTTAATTCAAATATTAATGTTGTTATATTTACTTTAAATATAAAGTAAATATAACAACATTTAAAAATATTTCAACGTTTGTGGTAGCATTTTTAAAAAAAGATGAATTTAAATATTTTTGTAATGTTTTGTAATTTTTGTCATTCAATTCAAATCTTAGGTCCTCAAATTTAATGGTTATTTCAAACAAACTGTCCATGAATCACCTGATGAATACTATAGAGTCCGTCCTGTCGACATCTACTACTATTTAGAGGATGACAGTATCGCAGTTATTGAGCCACATGTTGAAAACTCAGGAATGCCACAAGGTATATAAATGATCTTATCAAGTTGATAATTCAAATTTAACATTTTTAATGACTATTTATTTGGTTTTTTCTTTATATTTTAAAAGTATTTCTATAACTTTCTGAACAGGCAAGCTTCTCAAGCGTCAGCGCTTGCCTAAGAATGACCAAGGTGATACATGGCACTGGAAGGACATCAATCTTGGTATAAATGTAGTATTCTATGGGAAGACCTTCCATATCACTAACTGTGACAAGTTTACTAAGGTAAGGCTTCTATCTCATGTCATGTGACTTTAGTTAAACAAGTCCATAAATAGCTCAACAGCTTTCTACTTATTTAAATAAAAGCTTAAAATATATTTTTTTGTTCATCCCAGCTTCCAATTGTTCATTTCTGTCTTATGTTATAGTTAAGCTGAGTACTAATACTTTTAAAATAATAATATTTTGGGGCCAATTGTGCTTTTAAAAATTAAATCTGGTAGACAAAGTGGATTAACTTTTAGGAGTTCCTGAATGAAGTTTTAAATATGTATATATGTGTGCGTAAATATATGTGTGTGCTTAAACTGGGACTGCATGGTCAGTTCAGTAATGCTCATGGCTACTAAACTGAAAAGTCCTGGGTTCAAACCTCTGAGCAGATGAGGCTTGATAGCTGGGGACAGCAACCCAGCTAGGAGAGACAACTCCAAAATCAAACAACTGCTACCTTGTAGTTTGTTCTTGGTTGGACAAACGCTATGAAAGCAAATCCAAAAGAAAAGCAGGCTGAAATTTGGGTTCAAGGCCTATAACTTGCATAACAAATTAAAAGTCTTCTTAATTAAACCATTGTTGTAATATTTACAGGACTTCTTAGAAAGTGAAGGTATCCAAGTAAACGAAGCTGAATACATTCCTACAGACCCATACATCCAGAAACGAGCTGATGCTGTCTCCCTCAGGACTTACACAACTCAGTCGGCTTTTGATAAGCTGAAACAGTTCAAGGAACTGGACCGTAAGGTCTTAAGATTTTACTGTGTGTGGGATGACAGGGACAACATGTATGGAGAAATGAGACCTTTCGTCTTGCATGTAAGGATATTTTTTAAAGTTCTTAAATTTTCTTATATAATAAAATCAAAAGAAGTTTGTATAAATAAGCTTTTCTAATTTTAAAAAAAATGTACTTTCATTATCAGAATCAGTGTATGCCTATCTTCTTTTACCTTGTTCAGCTCTGATATGAATTATTCATATTTTTATCTATACACACTATATTTTGTGAAAGATATAATACATGTTGATGTATTGGTACTTCCATATATTTTGTAAGAAAACAATTCAAAATAAATAAATGGGTTACCATTGTTATTTTAAATAGGATATATTTGATTCATAATTTATTCATTCATTTATCCATCACTCACAAGTACCTTCTACAATATATTCCGTAGTACTACCTTGTTGATGATACTCTTGAAATTCGAGAAGTGCACAGTGCTAATGATGGACGAGACCCATTCCCTGTTCTCATTGGTCGTCATAAGGTTCCTAAAGATAGATTCAACGTCCCACCATCATTTCCAGCTGCAGTGATGGAACTCTCTGACCAAGAGATTAAAGAATACCTAACTCCAAAAGATTTCCAGTTAGGGAAAACTCTCCAGATCTATGGCAGACGCTTCTTGCTTTATGATTGTGACAATTTCACCAAGGGATTCTACTACAATCATTTTGGAATAACAAATTTTGAACCTGTTGAGGTTAAGGGACTTGCTAAAAAATTACCCAAGATGGTAAGATGTGTTCACACTTTATTAAGTGGATTTTATTGTACCACTGAAAAAAACTTTAGCAAAAATAAATGGCTAATGCAGCATAACCTTTACAATTAGTTTAAGTTTAAATGTAAATAGAAAATAGTTTATATTACATTTACCATTTAAAAACAAAATGAATTAGCATTTATATTTCTACTTTTATAAAATAGCATACATTTTGCTCTTGCATAAGCTGGATCATCAACAAATGAAAACTGTAATGTACTTTATTTTAATACTTTCAACTCAGGAAATTGCAGAGTACAACAACTTTGGATCTATTGAAGATTCTCTCCAGTCATGCAACAGCTTAATCCCACAACCACCCAAGAAAGATTTCATCAAAATGCTGGAGAATGACCACAAAGAGCTTCGCTTCGAAGCAATGATGGTAAAAATATTTATGAGAGTTTGATATAGATTTGTGCCCTTTTACAATTAAACTCTAATTTGGTAGAATTTTAAAACAATATTTGCAACATCTTTTATGAATAAATTTTCATTTAAATCTCAGATGCCAGGTTGCAAGGTACACTCTTCTTTTAAAAAATTACCTAATGTTCATTTGTGGTGAAAGTTTTAAAAGCTTTAAATTATTTTAAAAAAAAATTTTTTTGTTGTATGTTGAACTTCATTTTTGAAATTGTGTTCTAATTTTTATACTTAGAACTTAATTGTTACATTAAAAATATAATAGCAATTTAAAAAAAAAAATTAAGTCTATAGGCCTAATTCATTAAAATACATTTTTTTTTTTAATTTGCTTAGAAAAAATTTCTTGATTAATAAAATGTTATCTACACATTGAAAACAATAGTACTATTCTGTTAACCTACTTTTGTTTAATAAGTAATTTTAAAATGAGCCAAATATTAAGTAACCTTAAAACTTGTTAAAAAAAAAAATTTTGTGCTCTAACCATTTTTTGTGTGCAGGATACCATGAGGCCAGAAGATAGGGGAAGACGATTCATCATTAGCTACAGGCTAGCTGATGACATGATAACTATTTATGAGCCACCAGTAAGGAACTCAGGAATAATTGGGGGTAAATTTCTTGAGAGAACCAGAGTTGCCAAACCTGGCTCAACAATGGAGAAACCTACATACTATGGTCCCCAAGATTTTTACATTGGTGCTATAATTGAAATCTTCCGACACAGATTTGTCATCACCAATGCCGACGCTTATGTTCTCAATTACATTGAAGATCACAAATCCCAGTTCCCAGGTTGGAAAGTTTTAATATCCTCTTGATAAAAATTATTTATAGCTTAAAAATATTTGAAATCCTACTTGTAAAAATAAAAGACATCCTTATTTAGTTTCTATTAATCTTTAAATGAAATAATTATTTTTAGTTAGTAAAAAAATTTCTCCACTTTGCTTTTTTTTTTAAGTTTCTAACAAAAAAAATTATTGTGCAATGAAGTAAAATATCTAATTTGTACAAATATCTCATGATTGTACATTTTCTTTACATAAAGAACAAATGTACCAATCAATAAAAGAAAAAGTTGGAAGTGGCCCAGAGCCCAAAGAGGCCATCAAAGGTGGACCTATGAAAGTTCAGAGAAGGTCAGTAACATTGACATTCATAGCAGCATTACACAGACAGATGTAACATTCTCTTACAATATTAAACATGCAAATGTAAGATTTCTTAAAAACTAAAAACAGGCAAATTCAACATTTCCTAACAACTGCACACAGGTAACTTTAAGATAAAGTGATGAATATATTAACATAATCAAATAGCTGGCTTTACGTGTAAGCCCCTGAGATTATGCTTGTATTGAAGATTTACTTTAGAATTAAAAATTAGTATGTTAGAGTTTGTAGTTTTGTTTTAAGCCATCAGCTTGTGCAAGAAAAAATAATCCATTATGATATTTTTCTTAAATCTTAAAGCTTTAAAATTTAATTAACTTTTATTACTTAATATTTAATGAATTTTTTAAAAAATTTTTAGGCCAGGTGACCTTGAAGGTATGGTCCACCAAGTTCGCAGTCAGCTCAAGAAACTAGCCATCACCGACAAGTCCCGCATTGATGAGATGTTCCTGCGATACAACAGCGACCGCACTGGCTTTATAGATCTAAGCAACCTTAGGGATATTTGCAAGAGATTACAGCTGCCTATTGACCAAGATGTTCTTGAAATAGTAAGTCTATTGATGTGAGCTATACCAGCGGGAGTGTAAACTCCTAGTAGGTTCAACCAAGCTGGGAAGATCTGCGGATACGGATCAGACCAAAGCTAACACCCTGGTCCTCCAGGTTGGGGGTTGAAACATAAGGCTAGCAACCTTATCTCGTAAAAAATATACCACTACAGAAACTGCAAGTACACAAACCCAACACCAACTTGGTCGAGGAGGTTCCTTAGAGAGCAGCCTAAAACCAAGTCCACTGGAGTCCGCTGGAAATGTGTAGTTGCAGCCCTTTGCTCCCCAGCCTAAAACTGTACAAACCAGTTACGTAGTTTCATGATAATTGCTGAACATTAGGTTAATAAAAATTTAATACTGTGCATTGCATATGGCATATGGTGTAGGATTCGACTCTTTCTATGCTGGATTCATGTGGTTTGACTATCTTTATTTCCCTAAATTATTTGTTGCCTTTTAGAGCCAAATTGGCTTAAAAGCATATGAAAGGGCTAAGTCAAATACTGACTTGTTATGGTACCCTTTGGTTATCTCAACTACTTTATCATATCAAGAAGAGAGCTAGTAAACAACCCGGTTGTGCTGTTCCTTAGAAATTTTTGAGGTCAAATTTTTGATTAACCTAGACTTGGCCAACATATGTGTATTAAATTTATATATATATATATATATGAAATTTTCATTTTTAACACACACTTTTCACAAAGTTTATAATCCACTTTGAGTTGTTTACAGTTAAAACTTTATTTTTCCCACCATGTTTTATCTTTATTAAGAATATGATCATGTTTTTTAATTTCGTCATCAAACAAAACAATTTATCTGCAGGTTATCAGACAGATAACAGAAAATCCAGAGGGCCACATCAGTCTGGAGGAATGGCGTGAATTCATTGAGAGCACATAAGACAGTTGGATCAGATGTGTTTGCTTCTAGTTACATTTCCTGCATCCTGTGATACCATGGAATTACTGCTTGACTTGTCTGAATATGGGAAGTTTCTCATCTCATTATGGGACAGTTTACAAAAATAGTTATGGTCACTTCATTAATACAGCTTTTTAAACATTGTGAAATTTAAACTACTATTCAAAATTATCTTTTTAAAAAATAATTCTATTTTAAAATTGTTCTGTTTGAAGATCTACCTTTCTCAATTTAAATAATTGTCTTGTTATCCATATAAAATATGTCAATAAATTTATTATTGTTTTATTTGTAAGTTTAAATTACTTGTTTTTTATCAAGTTATGCAAAAACAGGATACAATTTTTGAATATTTTAACTATTGAATGCAACAAAACTTAAGACGGATATACATAGAATATATTTCAGTATTTGTATTTACATGTTTAAAGGTGTTACAAAAATATTTGATACAAAATATACTTCAATGTGAAATAATTTTTTATAAAGAGATAATCATTAGTCCTCAAAAACTTGTGATAGAGAACTACCTATTTGCTAGTTTCAGTTATTTAAAATCATGTTCAGTATTAACAATGTTGTATACACTAAAAACACAAACTGCTGATTGAGAATACAATGAATCCTTATGAGAAATATGCACTTTTTTTTTTTAATTTAAAGGGATGCAACTAGGGATATTTCACTATTTGTGTTTAGAATGTTTTTAAAAATGTTTGCATATTTTATGAAAGTGTTTGGTACAGTTTTGTACTAACTGCATACAATTTTTTTTAGAATGATAATCACTTTACTTCACTAATGTGAAATTATAGATGTAAATAATAAAAGTACTGAAAAACCTTATCATTTGCTGTGTTTCTTATTTACTGCAAGACAACTTAAAAACAAAAGTTATTAATATAACTTGGTGATGCTTATGTTCAAGTTTACAATTTGTATGAAATGAATAAAGCCAGGTTTATAATTCAACATTTTAAAATAAGTGAAAGAAGATAGTACAGTATTTTAAACTCCTTTAATGAGGAATGAATTGTCATAGTTTACAAATGTACATTTCTAAAATGTGTATACACAAACATTTGATATAATGATCAAACATATATAGGTTAATTCATAGTAATTAGATTTTTTTCTGTTTAGCCTACTTAATAAATATTAACAAACAAGTGCTTTTGCCATACTAAGTACTGGTATATGAGGAAGTGTGCAAGGTATAATTCAAGTAGAATAGGGCATTTTATTTCCTAATTTCAGGATCTTTTTTTTTTTTAATTAAGACATCAACATTTTCTATTAAATAAAATTGTTACACATACAAAACTACAGTACAGTTGTTGTTTTTTAACATTTTAAGGTTTAAAAATACAAAGCAAACTTTTAGTATTATAAAATAACAATGGCTCATTAAAGAAATTTGTTTTGGTTTTTATTTCTTCAAATAAGACTGTATTGGTTATACAGTATCACAGAATAGCCTGAAGTTTAATCACATAAAGGAAATTTTTGTACAGTTAATTAGCAACAAAAGTTGGTAGTTTTTTTACACAAACAGTTTGAACAGTTTAAAAACATGTTCAATCTCTTACTTAAATAAGTACTGTAGAGATTCTTATATATTTTAATACAGGAAGACAACTACACATAGTGGTAGCTACTATAAAATATCACATTCAAACAAAACTGGTTCCTCAATATAACATTCACATCATAGTGCTTGGGGGCAGGTAAATAATGTCACACCATGAAATATAGTTATTGTTATATACTAGAGAGTAAAAAAGTCATGTGTCAGTTTAAGTCATGGTTGATACATTTGTTGATTATAGACAAAGCTATTTAACAAAACAAAGTTTGTTTTTCCTAATTTTACACATCATAAAAGTAAGTGTTAGAAGGTGCGTCTACTGTAAACTGTTTTTAATGAAGATGACTTATTTTATCGCTCAGATTTTTATAGATGTTGACCCGATGTCCAAACTTTTATGTAAGAACTCTAATGATAAAACCTACAACATGGTAGAGGGATTAAGATAAAACAATATGGTTCAGATTTTTTTTTTCTTACATGTCTATACTACAGCAAAAGTTCATTTCTTCTATTTCATTCTTACTCTATGCTTACACTTGCGACATGTTTAAAAATAAATTGCAACAACTTAATGTGAAATTAAAATATTTTTCCCATGGAACTCATATACTTGCTGCAAGTTTTTTTTCTAGACATGTATAATATACATGTTGCAAGTGTAAGCTGTATGAAGGAATTATTTTTTTTAGACAATGTCTTTAATGTAAAAACACTCATAGCAAGTTTGTCTTTGGTTAATATGATCACAACTGTACTCAATGTTCTAGACATCACTGACACAGATTTAAAGACCATTCAGCTCAGCTGTTTATCAAGAAAAGTGCTAAAAAATAATACAATTTAACCTGTTTCAAACTTGCCTATAATGTAGATTTTGGACCCTAAAATAATGGTTGTTAATAGCTGTACATCTACACATCATGCCACCAACATTTGACTCTCTACAATATATGTGTCAAAATGTTCTGTGTCATGCAGATCTCTCATTTACTTATCCTTGCAACAACTCAAGTTTTGATTGGCATGTGATGGTAGCAACTAAACTGAATACTATGGGAATTATATTGTGGAAAACTTGTAAACACTGAAATTTTAAATACTTTTAATTATTGCCATGTGCACCTTTAATTAGCTTACACAGGACATTAGGTAACTTTTGTGGATCTGTAAACTTTATGATGCCATACACCTGATCAAAGCAGTACAAGGCACAAACTGGCATGACAGTGGTGAACTTGACATGAAACTGGCACAAGATGACATTGTTGCCAGGACTGACAATGGCAAAATGTCTCTTCATAGCGTCAAAGTAGAAACCAAGCTTGACCGTCTTCTCTGTTTCTTGGTCTAGGTCCAGAATTGGTATACTCCGAGGGAGGGTATCTCGGTTTTGACCGTTCCAGAATTCCAAGGCAATTTTGTTGTTTCTGCGGACTAGGTAAGCGCAGCATGCTTTGACGTTGTCACATAAAAGTGCTGACTCATTCTCCGAGCCCTGCTTGCATATCCCGACGTCACACAAGAGCTTTGAGTTTCCGAGTTTACCAAAGACATGAAAATGGATGACACACTCCCAGTACACGTGGGGAAGAAGCGGCAGACACTCGTCTGACATGGCACCTTCTAGATTCTCCAGGCGCTGGAAGCTGGTCGTAGTTGGACACACGTTGTGTAAGTTTGCCAGCTTGCATTTCCTATGCATGATTTCATCCTTGCTCGCCACTACAGCAATTTTCTTGTGACATGTGGCTGGGTTGAACCTTGCTTTAAAACCTGGAACCAATCAAATTACGACAAGTGTAATTACACATATGGTGACATATTTTAATGAGTCATTTTACTTTTTGTAAAGATATTTATGATTTCTAAACCGACACATTTAGTATTTAGAAAAACATCTAAATATTAACATTCATCAAAACATGTTTTTTAGAGTTTGAGAGTTAAGTACATCTACAACTGTAGAAACTAAATATCTATTAACATACAACATACATGTTTTATATACAAAAAGTTGTGTAAACATCAGAGGTGTAGCAACCCCTCACGGTGCCCTGGGACAAACCTTCAATTTGCCACCCCCCCCCTATATTTTTTATGTTTATAATTCAAATCTGCAGCTAAAATGAGCTTTTTTTTCCCAACCCCTAGGGTTGGCGCCGGGGACATATGTACTACCCCCTTTGCTACGCCTCTGGTAAACATAACATAAAATATACAGTAGTGTCTATATTAAGAAAACTGACCATGAAACATATGCTCTTATGTTAACTTCTACAAACATTCAGCAGTGTCTATACTATACTAAGCAAAATAGCGATAAAATAAATAAATTATTCCATGTAAACTTACAATGAACATACGGTAGTGTCCGTATGGCTCGTGAAATCTGCGGATACTTGCAGCCCTCGTCTGTTGCGGCCTCTAGCACAATCTGATACTCAGAGTCTGACCATGGCAGAGCCATCAGGTATAACGTCACACTGCCAGCCAATTCGACTGTTGTTAGAATCTCGTGGCCTCTGCTGTCTTTCATTTTAGCTGTCAATCTGAGATGGAGATTAGAAAGGGATGCAGTATAACAGGTTTTATTTTTTAAACTTTGAATACAATATCATTGGATGGTGTGGCTTAGTGGTAGAGCGCTAGACTTCTAACCCAAAAGTCTCAAGTTCGAATCCGGATTCAAGTCAGTAGAATGTACTTAGTCTATCCAGCTCTAATGGGTACTTAACTCATGTTAGGGAAAGTAAAGTTGGCTGGGCATAGTGTTGACCACACTATCTTTTCTTATCCTGAGGTCACAAAAACAGGTGAACTCTACTGCGCTTACCTAATAGACTACCAGGTTCAAAAAGGGAAACTTTAGTATTAAACTTTGAATACAATATCAAGAAATAAGAGGATGGTGTTAGCAGTGGCATCACTACAGTGTTAGCAGTGGTGTCACTCCAAGGTGTTAGCAGTGGTGTCACTCCAAGGTGTTAGCAGTGGTGTCACTACAGGGTGTCAGCAGTGGTGTCACTACATGGTGTTAGTTGTGGTGTCACTACAGTGTTAGCAGTGGTGACACTGCAGTGTTAGCAGTGGTGTCACTACAGGGTGTTAGCAGTGGTGTCACTATGGGGTGTTAGCAGTGGTGTCACTTCAGGGTTTTAGCAGTGGTGTCACTACAGGGTGTTAGCAGTGGTGTCACTACAGGGTGTTAGCAGTGGTGTCACTACCAGGTTGTTAGCAGTGGTGTCACTACAGTGTTAGCAGTGGTGTCACTACAGGGTGTTAGCAGTGGTGTCACTACCAGGTGTTAGCAGTGGTGTCACTACAGGGTGTTAGTAATGGTGTCACTACCAGGTGTTAGCAGTGGTGTCACTACAGGGTGTTAGTAGTGGTGTCACTATGGGGTGTTAGCAGTGGTGTCACTACAGGGTGTTAGCAGTGGTGTCACTACAAGGTGTTAGTAGTGGTGTCACTATGGGGTGTTAGCAGTGGTGTCACTTCAGGGTTTTAGCAGTGGTGTCACTACAGGGTGTTAGCAGTAGTGTCACTACCAGGTGTCAGCAGTGGTGTCACTACAGGGTGTTAGCAGTGGTGTCACTACAGGGTGTTAGTAGTGGTGTCACTATGGGGTGTTAGCAGTGGTGTCACTTCAGGGTTTTAGCAGTGGTGTCACTATGGGGTGTTAGCAGTGGTGTCACTACAAGGTGTTAGCAGTGGTGTCACTACAGGGTGTTAGTAGTGGTGTCACTATGGGGTGTTAGTAGTGGTGTCACTACAGGGTGTTAGCAGTGGTGTCACTACAGGGTGTTAGCAGTGGTGTCATTATAGGGCGTTAGCAGTGTCACTAGGCCTGGTGTCAACTATGCACCCCCCTCAGCCTGCCTTGTGATTGTTAGTCATTCTTTCAGCAGACTTACTGTATTTTGCAGGCATCATTAATCGTCCTCCACTTAACCTCCACCAGAGACGGTCCTGAACTCACAGGTCGATGCAGGATCTCTGTGAACACTGGCGTCACCATTTCTACGCAACAAACAATTAAGGCATAAAATATACCAGCTGACTACAATCATAATTAAATAAATTGAAACTTAGCTTACTGTTGTCTTTGACAAAGTCCAATGATGCGACATATTTGACCACTGCAACATCACCCAGTTTTGGCTGGCGAGGAATCAACTTGGCCTTCATGGTTAAAGATCTGGACTGTATTGCTGAAACTCTGATTAATTCAAGTTTTTATTATTTTAGAGGGAAATAATCTTCAGATAACATGATTCTTTGAAATGAGTTACTTCCCTTCCATATAAATATCAAATAAAAAATTTTTAATGTGTTGTTTATAATTTTTTTAAAGTTAGTTTTACCCCTTGGGAATACAACATCTGCTTGACTTGCCCTCAAGACTTTTTTTATTTAACAATTTGACCTATTAGCACTCAAGTTTTTAACAAAGTTTAAAAAGTGCACAATCTGAACCCTGTTCTATTTCTGAGTCTTAAGGTGACATAAATATCTATGGGATATAAACTGTTGGAGCCATCTCCAGCAAAGGTAGATTCAGAAACCAACACCGAAATAACCAACTTAATTATCTTTTTTTTTGGGGGGGGGGGGGAGGGAGAACTGCAACACTGCAACTCCCACTTTGCTGAGCAAGCCACCGCCCCTTCCCCCTTGGACAAAAAAGAAAACATAATTTAAATAGAAAATATATACTTTATATATTTTGATGAGTATCCGCATCAAGTAAGTGCACTCAATCCCCCTCCACAAATTATTGGAGTGACCCCCCAAGAGAAAAATGTGTGAAAGAAACACTGAGGGTATGAAAAGAAGGAAAGAGCAAACCTTAATGATTAACCCAGATTTCACAACAAGGATTGGAGTAGAGGAGAGAAGGTTGTGTATGTGTGTTTATGTGTGTACAAGTGTGTATGTGTTGTGTACGTGTATGCCCATGTGTGTATGTGTGTGTATGTGTGTATGTATGTATGTATACACATGGTACACCTACCTTTCTTGCAGCAGCGTGATATCCTGTGTACAGACAAAATTTGAATATCAAAATATAGAATAATAATGAATAAACTATAAGACTACTTAAATAGAACTGCATCAAACTATCAAACATAACTGCAAAGCCAAAATGACAAGTGAATATGGAAGATGCTCAGTAAGTTGATCGATATTGTAAATATTATTTTAAAAAATTGGATATTTCAAATCCACCAACCGCCCCCGCCCCACTCTCCACCTCTCCTTCCCCACCCCCACCCCTTTTTATAAAGGCGTATATAATAATATATGGTAGGACAACCCCAGCAACAACACACCCGTTTGTAACGCCACTAGTTGCATGTGAAACGAATGATTTCTTACATTGCTGACGTCAGTTCCTGTGTGAACAGCTGTTACGGAAATGATGTCATTGACCTGGTCCTCCAAAAGCTCGAGAGATAAGTTTTGGGCCTTGACCTCTGTAGAAAGGTTAAGGCAAAGTTTCACGGCTTCGTGACGCTGAAAGGAAAACAAACACGCACTAAACAAAAGGACACCTAACAAGACCACACTAAACAAAAATACACCTAACAAGATCACACCAGAGGCGTAGCGAGGGGGGGGGGGCATATGTCCCCGGGCGCCAAAATGGGTTGGAAAAACAAATTGAAAGTTTGAGAGGGGTGCAAATCAAAAGTTCGAGGGGGGTGCAAATAGAAAGTTTAAGGGAGGGGGTGCAAATCGAAAGTTTGTCCCCGGGCGCCGGGAAGGGTCGCTACGCCTCTGGACCCCACTAAACAAAAGTACACTAAATAACAGTAGACTAAACAACAGCAGTCTAAACAGTGTTTCTTTCAGAATTTTTTTCCGGGGGGGGGGGGGCACTTGAAATTTCAGGGGAGGGGAGCGGACAATGTTAAAAGTATATATTTTCTATATAAATTCCATTTCGTTCGGGGGGGGGGGGGTGCGGTAGAGGCAGTGCCGGTGCCAGGTAATTCAGCGCCCTATGCAAAACTTATTAAAACGCCCCTTTTCACACAAATTAATCACTAAAACATATGTATAAGAAATAATTAATTAAAATTGAGACATTTTAATTTATTACCCCCCCCCCCCCCCCCTAGACGCATTTGTTTTACTATCTCATATCTCATAAGTATTGCAATCTATAATGGCTACTGATGTATTTGTTTTTTAACTTGATAATGCTAAAAAAAACTACCTAACCTATTTTGTTTAGAACTTCTGCTCTATATAATTTTTAAAATAGCAAATAATAACTTGTAATAAGTTGTATTTATAAGTAAGTTGTTTATCTAAGGTGCAATAATTTGAAATGAATGTAAAGTTAAGCAACAAATTATCTCCCATTTGGTAATCCATATATCAAAGTTTTATTCAAGGGAAATATCTTTCACAAGAATAGCCAAATTAACCAAGTGTAACCAAGACATGCTTGAAAACCACTAAAAAACGGTTTAAATTTCATAACGTAATAATTTTACTAAATCTTTCTTATTACCTATACGACCTTGTCAAAACAATATATATTAATTATTGAATACTGAACTGTAGGTTTTGTTTGAAAGTCTAAATACTGTAGATTTATTATAACATACTTCTAGTCAATTTTGATGGAAAAACATTTAGCTGTACCTCTTTCAATATAACATAGAATATAATTTTGGATCCCCTAAATTAAGGGACACTTTAAAAAATAAACTTTCTCGAATATTCTAATATAACACTAAGTGGGATGTCAACTCGGAATATAGATATGATTTTTGTTTACATAACCTTTTAAAAATAGAATAAAATCTAGTAGAAAAAAAACTGCGCACCAAGCGAGCACCAAAACCAAATGCGCGTAATAGTGCGCAATATTATTAGTACTTAATAAATTTACATGCGTTTTTTGAGAAATCGGAAATAGCGTAAATTAGTACTTCCGATCAACGGAAATTACTCAAAATTTGACAGAAGGTAGAGAATTAGATCTTTTACTTACATGTGAAATTTCATTTATCTATCTTAATTAGTACTCAAGTTATAGGCTTTTGAAAAATTCAAAGTAGAAAAAGTACCACTTCCGGTTATCGGAAATCGCTCAAAAGTTGATACGGATCTACGATTTTGATATAATACTTATATATGAAATTTCATCAACCTAGCTGTAACGGTACTCAAGTTATCGTGTTTACACACGGACACACACACGGACAGAATTGGATAATACAGTTTTTCCAACTCCATTACGCATAAAACGCCAAAATTTTTATATATCTGTGTTTATAATTTTTGCCCGATTAAAATAAGTCTTCTATATCCCGGATGTGATGAAGGACTGAGGAGTAAAACGGTGAAAACTGTCCAAATTTAATGTGATTTTTGTGCACGATTACAAGACTTTCTCTATACTTCGTATATACGAGAAAGTAAATAAACCGGGAGTGATCTCCCCTAAACTTTCTCGAATATTCTTATATAAAATAACAGGGGATGGGAACTCGGGCTATAGACATGATTTTTAATCCATTTTAAATACTTAAAGTTTTAAAAATAGAATAAAATCTCGTAGACAAATTAATTGCACACCAAGTGAACGCGAAATAAAAAAGCGCATAATAGTGCGCAATATTATTAGTACTTTTAAAATTTACATTAGTTTTTTGAGAAATTGGAAGTAGCATAAATTACTACTTCCAGTCAACGGAAATTACTCAAAATTTAACAGAAGGTAGAGAATTAGATCTTTTACTTACATGTGAAATTTCATTTATCTATCTGAAATAGTACTCAAGTTATAGGCTTTTGAAAAATTCAAAGTAGGAAAAGTACCACTTCCGGTTATCGTAAATCGCTCAAAAGTTGATACGGATCTACGATTTTGATAAAATACTTATATATGAAATTTCATCAACCTAGCTGTAACGGTACTCAAGTTATCGTGTTTACACACGGACAGACACACAGACACACAGACATACGGACAAGATTGCAAAATTATGTTTTTCCGTATCAGTGAGGTGTAAAACGTCGAGATTTGTAAAAATCTCGATTTTTTTTTTTGCACGATTACAAGACTTTCTCTATACTTCGTATATACGAGAAAGTAAAAATCATAATTTGAAAAAACAAAGTGATTCTTTAATAATTTATTGAATTTATTGCAAGTGATGGTGGAGGCTGAAGTGTGACGTCATTTGGGATGATCGGGAGGGGTGGGGGTAAAGCGTGACGTCATTTATGAACGGCCTCTTTCAAATTGGGGAAAAATCGAGCAAACGTTAATTATAATATTTATGTCACTAGTTCTTTAACTTGTGACATTCGGTATTTCAGTGAATTAAGATCAAAATATTCTTGTTTTGGCGCAGATTCTGGGAGGACAAGGAATCAGTTGCGTAGCGAGGTCGGGTGTCACCCGGTGCGGCACTCAATGGTGTCACCCCCCAGAGGCGTAGCGACCCTTCCCGGGGACAAACTTTCAAGTTTTCGATTTGCACCCCCCCCTCAAACTTTTGATTTGCACCCCCCCCCCCCCTCAAGTTTTCGATTTGCAACTCCCCTCAAGTTTTTCTCTATATATTTTGCTATTTTTTGCCTTGGTGTCACCCCCCTAAATGGTGTCACCCGGTGCGGTCGGCACCCCCCGCCCCCCCCCCCCTCGCTACGCCCCTGCAAGGAATATCTAACAAACCAGCTCTACTTGGTCTGCAATACAGATTGGCTTACAGACCTTTCAAGGCCCACCACTGACGTAATGTTACTGAACCCTGTAACGGGTTTTAAATAAGTGGCGTCTCTAGATTGGGTGTCACCCGATGCAGTAATTAAGGGTGTCATCCCACCTTCTCACACAATTTTGCTTTTTTTTTTTTGGTGTCACCCCCTCTCTCCTATTATTGTGTTTTATTAACTGTATAAAACGTTGTTTCGACAGTAAATTGTACAATTTTTTTCTCGGCCTGGTATTCTCTAAATGGTGTCACCCGGTGCGAACATTAGCACTCCGCCCCCGCCTTGTGACGTCACTGATTATCTCTATTGCCCATCCTTAACGTCCCCATTTATTCATATAGAAACAAGTCCGCTAAGACTCATGCAATCTTCTATTATTGGCAAACTTTTTTTTAAATAGATCTAGGGTCAAAATCTAGCACTTTAAAATATTACAAGGTTTTTTTTTTTTTTTTTTTTTTTTATTTGTTTTTTTTTAAATGACAATTGAGCAAGAGCTAGTTTTGTTTATAAAAATTAAATCCATTTTTAAAAATTCAGTAAAACATTTTACCACGCTGATAAAAACTGTAACGAAAGTTGGTCTACCGCCTCCATTCCTATCAATGTCTTGAATGGTGTTGTTGTCAATGAACTGTTCTCTAATTAGGCCAAGGGGTCATCCTTAAATGACGTAACGCTTTTTAAACTATTTTTACCTCCCCCCCCCTCCCCTCCGTCACACATCGTCACAAAAAGCCAGACCCCCCCCCATAACGTCACACCTCATCCTACAACCCCCTCCAACCCACCCGTCCCCCACCCCCCCTCATCAAAATTGCTGTTGAATTTTTCTTAACATATGATATTTTTTCCAAAATCTTGTCTGAACTCTGTCAACATAAGACGTAATTCCTATTACAATTTTTAACACAGTTTTCTAAAACGTGAAATAACGGCTAAAATTCGTTTTCTAACAATGCTTTCTTGTAATGCAAAAGTGTGACGTAATATCATCTGAACTAAATTCTGAACCCCCCTTCCCCCTTATCACACACAGTTACAAAATTACTGACGAGTGTGACGTCATTTATGGAGGAACCCCCCCCCCCCCCCCAAATAGATTACGACCGTCCTAAAAAAAAAGACCTATGGTGTAGGGTACCTGTTGACTGACAACTGTGAGAAGATTTGCCTCCTTCTCCCCTACACACTCGTTGATCTGGCTGCACACCGAACGTATCTCACGCATGCGCTCTTCTGTTTCTTCCTGAAAGTATGGAACACCAAAGGTTCAGTTATTTTTAAAAATCAATAAAAGACACGGACCTTCAAACATGTCCCTAACATCGCCTCATCAACTCCCTAACATCACCTCATCAACTCCCTAACATCGCCTCATCACCTCATCAACTCCCTAACATCAACTCATCAACTCCCTAACATCACCTCATCAACTCCCTAACATCACCTCATCACCTCATTAACTCATCACCTCATCAACTCCCTAACATCACCTCATCAACTCCCTTACATCACCTCATCAACTCCCTAACATCACCTCATCACCTCATCAACTCATCACCTCATCAACTCCCTAACATCACCTCATCAACTCCCTAACATCACCTCATCAACTCCCTAACATCACCTCATCAACTCCCTAACATCACCTCATCACCTCATTAACTCATCACCTCATCAACTCCCTAACATCACCTCATCAACTCCCTAACATCACCTCATCAACTCCCTAACATCACCTCATCACCTCATCAACTCATCACCTCATCAACTCCCTAACATCACCTCATCAACTCCCTAACATCACCTCATCAACTCCCTAACATCACCTCATCAACTCCCTAACATCACCTCATCACCTCATCAACTCCCTAACATCACCTCATCAACTTCCTAACATCACCTCATCAACTCCCTAACATCACCTCATCACCTCATCAACTTCCTAAAATCACCTCATCACCTCACTAACATTACCTCATCAACTCCCTAACATCACCTCATCAACTCCCTAACATCACCTCATCAACTCCCTAACATCACCTCATCATCACCCTAACATCACCTCATCACCTCATCAACTTCCTAACATCACCTCATCACCTCCCTAACATCACCTCATCACCTCCCTAACATCACCTCATCAATTCCCTAACATCACCTCATCACCTCCCTAACATCACCTCATCAATTCCCTTACATCACCTCATCAACTCCCTAACATCACCTCATCACCTCCCTAACATCACCTCATCAATTCCCTTACATCACCTCATCAACTCCCTAACATCACCTCATCAACTCCCTAACATCACCTCATCAACTCCCTAACATCACCTCATCAACTCCCTAACATCACCTCATCACCTCATCAACTTCCTAACATCACCTCATCACGTCATCAACTCCCTAACATCACCTCAACAACACCCTAACATCACCTCATCAACTCCCTAACATCACCTCATCAACTCCCTAACATCACCTCATCAACTCCCTAACATCACCTCATCAACTCCCTAACATCACCTCATCATCTCATCAACTCCCTAACATCACCTCATCAACTCCCTAACATCACCTCATCAACTCCCTAACATCACATCACCATCCTAACATCAACATTTTTAATGTACCATCCCCCACCAGTTTCATATGCGCGTTCGCCGAACTTTTTTTAACAGTTCTATCGTCCGCACTGACAAATTCCGATTTCTAAAGTTTATTTGCTTGTACCTCGATTGTCTTGAGAAGGTTTTGAACCGCTTTCATCACACTGTTGAGTTCTTTCCTCTTGGACTTGATCATGCGCCTCACTTTCTCCAGCTGGTCCTGGGGACATCAGACGTCAGCTCTAAGGGTTTTATTGTGTGTGCTGTCCCGGATCAAGCATGGGGCTGATACGGTAAGGCTTGGGGGCCCCAGGTAACTCACGCATAAACTACATTAACATTTTTAATTTGAGCTTGTGTATTATTTCTAAATCAAAATTGTTTTTAGTTAATTATTAAGACCGCGAAGAGATAAGTGTATAGGTTCTGTAAAATTAAGACCTAATGGTCTCACGTGAATTATTATTGAATATAGTTGTTTTTTTTAAATGTGTTAACTGATATGAAGGATTAATTACTTGGGTTTTTTAATGCATTAGTGTTTGCCCGTAAAATATTATAATGTTTAGAATTTCTGCTAAAATCTTAAGTCTAGTTAACCCAGCTATCTGAGAACACTAAAAAAAAATGCCATGTTAAACTGTTGTAACTAAAATGACAAAAATATAGGACATCATATCGAAACGAGATTTTTCTTCACCCCCCCCCCCCCCCCTCAACAGATTTCCATTGTTTTTACAAAGCTCGTTTACATAATGAAAAAAACCACTATTGCCCTCGTGTGGGCCTTCAATCCCCTGCACCTGAATATCCCACCTGTAGAAG